TGCAGATGAAAAGTTTTCATGTTTGTGATTCCTATGCAATAAAAAAAAGTTGTTGTGCAACAGTGTTTTAAGCAGCAACAAAAGGGCTATGGGCATAACTTGGGACCTTGTGTCTTTAGGAGGGGATGCTCCAGTGAGTACTGAAGGAGCCAGCTATGGGTGAGGTCATGTGGCAGATGATAGTTTAAGAGTCGGAGCTCAGGGCTACGCATTAGGGCTGTGTATTGGCAACTGCTTGGCGATACGATGTGTATCACGATACAGCGGTTACAATAAACTGTGATTTTTTAAATCTAATTTTAGGAAAACTGTTAAAGTATTAAAAAACACACCACCATATGCATAAAATTTGAGTAAAGAAAAAAAAAAGATTTTTTATGCAATAAGGATAGTGGGATCTGTTTTCATTTATCACTATCCCTGTAACATCCAACATCATAGCACTACTTTTTGTGCAATCTGAACCAAGGAATTAATATTTGCCTATATCAGAAAAAAATAATATAAAAGCTTGTTTTTACTTCCTTATACAACTTGGGCACAGCAATAATTCGTTTGTGTTTGTACCGTTATTTCGTCCTATTCCTCACAGTAAGCGAATTATCACGTTGTTTGTAAAATGTACTTTAAATTCACTCCAGCTGTATATGTCCAAGGGGAAACCACTTTTTTTCAGGCTCTGGTTAAAGATGTCCCCCCTGTATTCTCAGTGTAAAAGTGGTATAATATGAATAAAAGTTACTGTAAATACAAGTCACATTAGTACCATAACAGTAAGACTTAAGCTTCAAAGACTATAGGGAAACTAACTTCCTAGGTGCACTGAGATAAGTAACGTTAGTCTAACAACAATAACACAGACTAATTACCGTGCTGTGTAATGCAGTTTATTTATTTCAGCAACAAATGTTTCGAATCTATTTACACAACTTAGCGACACTGATGAGGATATGGGACATAAGTACACCATAAAAATCACTGACGTCTGAACAACAGAATGTGCCTGCATGTACGGTAATTAAATCAGAAATGGCGCGTTATATCCATGTTTCTCGGAGTAGAGCCAAAGCTAGCATTAGTAAGATGACCCACGTAGTGTCTGAGCATTAAAACATCTGCTAACAACACATTTTATACTTTAAAACGTGTTTAACTACAAGTCATTTTACAAACAACGTGGTAATTCGCTTACCGCGTGGAATAGGACGAAATAACGGTACAAACACAAACGAATTAAGGCCCGCAGAGCAGCGCCAACTGAAGACGTCATGATTTCGACATGCGCAATGAGGGGGAACAGGGGGAACTGAATTTACCGTAACACCGGTGCTCCATGACTCCAGGCACTGTTTAGTTCCTCAGTGCGTCAGAGCACGCCACGCAGCATTAGCCTTTACTACAATAAATTAAAGTTATACTGAGACCACAGAACCTTACTGTTAGAACCTTTTTCGGCTCGTGTCTTTCAGCTCAAAAACAGCCAGTCTGTGGAGAGGCAGTCACAAATGGCAAGCGTGATGTGTGATGCTAAAAATTTTATTTCATTCAATTTATACAAGCGGAGTGTATGAACCTGAAGCCGCCGTTTTTGAGCTCTCCCTGCTGGGTGTGCAGCACTATGCTCAGCGACCCTGTGCGTCTGGTGTGCAAGAATGTAACTAACACTCCATTTAAAGTGGAACGGGGAAATTCAGACAAGAAGCTGGTGAATAAGAAGCAGACTTCAGCCTTGTCTAAATCTACTTATTAGATAATGTTACCAGCATTAAAAGAATAAGTAGGATATTTTGAGAGCCTAAATCACATTATCAGGGGGTAAGTAGTGATATTAGGCTGGACAATAAAACAGACTGTACAATAGGCTTGAAATAAATCGAAAGCAACGTCAAAAACACAAGTTACTATGATGTAGTAATGATACAGGCTTGCTCGTTAGGTAGAACGCATTGTGAGAATACTGGTCCGAGTCTTTCATATTCAGCCATCGGTAGCAACGTTACTATTCAGCTAGGTTTACTAATGGTAACATAAGAGCTGGTTTAAGGGGAGCCTGGCCTCTTCCTGTTTCCCTCATTATATCAAAAACATGACTGTAAACACTAGGGGGGCGCCTGCGAGCAAGTCCTCAATGAATGGGGTGAATGGAGCTAAACGGCTAAAAAAAGGAAAATAGCTTCTAATCACTTACCCAGAACTTGCCTTTCATTTTAGAAAGTAGGAGGATCTATTTGACCAAAAAAGCAAAGATAACTGTATGTTTCCTTTTTTCTACAGCAAATGGGTTTTGGGCAGGAGGACAGGAGCGTCACTACTACTGAGTGCTGATTGGTTGGCAAGTGTAGCAGCTCATTGGCTGTTTGTGCCCATTGGCATCATGAACATACCTGAGGTGCCTTGAAAACCCTGTAACTGGAGTTCAAAAGCTCTTAAAAATACTACAGCCATGTTAAAATGGTTTGTGCTGGTCTATGTTAAGGAGATGAATATATTCTTTTACATTAAAAATGTTTAAGTATTTATAAACTATAATTTTGCTCAAATGCTCCATCTTAACCCATTAATTTTGGACTTCCACTTTTCACGCTTTCTAGTGTTTGAGAAACTCGGAAAACATTACAGAGTACAGAGTAATTCTTCACTCTACAAGTTCTCTGGTAACGTTAAGCAGTGCGCCCTTGTTACGCTACTTGTTTACATTGGAGTGGAACAGGCTAATGGCTGAAGATAGAATATACACTGCTAGCATTCGTGGGTTTAAACACAACACAAAAGAACCACTGTCTGCTGTGAATCTTTGCGTGTAAACTGTTAATTAAAAATTGCTATTGTGTTTTGAGAATCAATACAGTAACACAAACATGATATTGCAATACTCAAGTATATCAATATTTTCTTACACCTTACTACGCATGGTTCTCCAGGATCTGGTCATTTTGAGTGATAAAAACCCTCAGATGCCTCCAGCAAGGTTTTTACTGTCGTCTGCAGATGTTGCAATAGCTATGGAGCCCGTAACAATCCTCTGGATTAGTCACATGCTCAGCTGTAACCATTCACTGTTGGAGCTCCTATGGAGTGAGTAGGGATGGACATTTAGGCTATCAGATACTTTGTGTTTCATATTATTAGTTCATTGGGGTGTTGGGGTGACATCATCAAACGTCTATTATGTGTAATATGTAGTGTTGGGGTAGTTAATTTTTTTTAAAAAGTATTTCATTACAAATTATTAAATAAATTATTAAATAATTTGACAGATTGTTATGCAAGTTTACAGTGGTTCCCATGCTCGATGATTATATTCACAAAGTTACACAGTTAGCTGCCATAGGTTGCAAAGTGCACACAAATTACCTACAAGAACAGGCACATATTATCTGTATAGAGAAAATTAGGTTTCAAATGCATTGCACATATTAATATAGGACATTGACATCAGCCCACAGTTCCCCTATCATTGCATCCCTAGTTGTATGATATTTTGAGATCAATATACAGTACTATAAACACCATATTTAACACTGTTTTATTGTTGGACATTTTTTGTATTTAGAATTTCTATAACACGTGACACTGCACTCTGAAGAATATGGCAACCATTATTATGATTTAAATGATGGTTTATTGAGAGAAAGACAAGTATTAAAAGTTACACAAAAGATTAATCGACTGTTTCCATATAATTTACTTGGATTCCTCATGTTTGTTTAGTGTTCTTCAAATGACAATGACAAACAGTAATGATGATAAAAAATAAACAGTTTGACAAGTACCTTTGTGAAAACGTAGTATATACCAAACAAAATGAAATCAGAACCAGTTCAAGTTGATTACTGTTCCATACAATGGAGAAAAAATCTTGAGAAATTTTTGCTTTTGATTGACATCAGACCAAGCTTATGGGAAAACAAGTAAATGCTAGGCTACAACTCCTTCCTCAAAAAACATTACAAAAGATGCAGAAAACAATCCATTATGAAAATTAAAAATTCACAATGGCATAGCTTTGTCAAAACACCTAAAAATGAAACAAGAACACACATTAGCACATCCTTCAGTCAGCTGCTCTTTGTCATACAGTCACAATCTTTTATTTAACTGTCCACCTTGTTGCATCACCACAAACAAGACTGTGTGGATAGTTGGCTACCTATTATATGCTGCACACACAAACATAGTAAGGCTTTAGAAAACAAACAGTACTTTAGAAGGAAAATATTATCCCTTACAAGACAGACAGCTTATGAATTTCTGACAGAGATACATAAGAAAACATAACATAAGGAGAAGGGACACATAAGGAGAAGACAAAGAAGGAGGTTAAAATAAGATTTTCAAAGCGAACTGACTTGTGTTGCTTCAAATGTAACTTGAGCTAGCAGCTTTCTACATGAGTAGGATATTCTTAAGAGGACCTGTCGTATTCTCATTACCTTATAGCACGTCTTTATCTGAGGCAGAATTTCACATTATAAGAGCATTTATGTAATAGAGAGACTTATCTAAGCTATTATTTTGGCATGAATGTTGTTAAAGGTAACAATAATCCATAGCAATTTCACATCAGTCACTGCAATTTTAAATATGTGTAAGACTTATTAGATTCTCTATTTAAAACAATAGACATTGTGTGTGTTACCATCTTAACCATATACATCTATCTAACTTCATAAAACACAGGAAAGCCCAATCAGAATACAGTGGATTTTGCCACGTAAATAAGGGCATATTCTCTGATCCAAAGTACTATGATTGTCCAATAAGCATACACTGCACACATACTGTGAGAAGACGAAAGACAGGATTTCTAACAGGACACTGACCATACGAGAGGACTGTGAGAGCTACCATAAAGCTGGAAAACATACAAAATACATATGTTTATTGTTACATCACATCACCAACTGTCTAATATATATATATATATATATATATATATATATATATATATATATATGGCATCTACACACACACAAATATGTGTGTGTGTGTGTGTATAATCTCAGTATTTAGCTGCAAATTATATTGCACGTAAATGCACGTAAGTAAATGAATATGTGAAGAATACTCAAATAGTAAAGAATAAATGTTTCATACGAGATTTTGCTACTACACTATTACATCCGGACAAGGTCCAGAATTTAATCCTAACTAGTGGGCTTATATGGCGTTTTATAACAGCTTTACAAAATTATCAATCGTAATGTCAGGGTATTTAAAAGGGCAACCACATAAAGTCTATGAATAATGAAGATTTAAAATTTACAGTCAAAATGATTCCTCAGTGATGTTTCCTCAGTGCTTGTAATGACAGTACCACATGCAGAGTAAGAAAAAAATATTACAGAAAAATGAGTATGTTTCATACTACTTCGACCACAGACCATTCATGCAATGCCATTGCCAAGTCCATCAAATGTGAACACCACTTAAGACACTTACCAAAAGCACCAATCTTTTTTTAAAAAAGTTACAGTACAAAAGAACAATTCAAGTCCATAATTTCATCTCACTTTCCTTCCAGTCTTGTATTGCACACCTTACAGTCTGATGTCCTTACTGCACCTGGAATACATTGATCTTACTGGTGTTCTTCAGTGTCTGCCTGCGGTTGCAGAACCAAACTCGCACCACCTCCCTATCATAATTAAGCTCCTTGGCAATTTCTGTGATCTCCTGGCCAGTTGGAAGGGCATTTTTCTCAAAGTAGGTGTTCAGGACCTCGATGGCCTGTGGTGTGAAGCTGGTGCGGCGTTTGCGCTTCTTGGATGGCTCCCCACCCACAAACTCCATTAGGTTCTGCTGACCCTTCTGGTTCCACAGCTCCGCTTCAGCCAGCCAACGCTCCAAAACAGGCTTCAGCTTCTGGGCACTCTTGGGTGTGATGTCAAGCTTTTCAAATCTGTGGGGAACAAAAGGCAAGAGTGAGGATGAAGGTTAGATTGAGAGGAATAAGGGCTCCAGCCATCTATGTATAAGTGATACAGTGAGATGGAGAATGCACACTGAGAGAGAGAAAGATGTAAAAAGAGACTGACCTGCAGATAGCAGACTGGCTGTAAGCTGGTCCTTCAGTAGCTGTGAGAGCCTGACCCACTTGTGTTTGGGTCAGACCCAAGGAGAGCCGTCGGATCTTAAAGTTCTTGGCAAACTCTCGTATCTCTTCCAGGTTAATGCCCTCTTCTTCGGTCACACTGGACTGTGGCTCTGGACAAAAAAGGAAAACGTTCAGCATCCAGTGGCCTATCTAGCACTGCATGGTATACCAAAAATATATCATATTGGGTTTATACTGCGTTTATTTTGCTGCATAACATGACTGTGATATGCAATATATTAAGCCATACTGAAGAACCCTTAATGTGACCTGGATAAACAATACCTAAACTTTTTTGATCAAAATAATGAATTTTAACGTCTTGTCATCCAAACCCTCATAAAACTCTCTAGTACAAGGCTTACTTACATATTGCAAGCACTAGCAATGTCACTATTGCCAATTTCAAAACTGCGATAAACATTATATAATGCAGCCTAACCACAAGCAAGACCTGGATCAGTTATCAACAAGTCAGGATGCACCTTCAGCTAACAACACACTAACAAACAATAACAAAATAAAGATCTTTTTAGCCTTTCCCATATGTGCAAACAGGTCATAAACAAATGACTACACTTAGGAATATGCATGTTTTTCTGATTAGAAAGAGAATAAATACACATACTGCTGACAAGCTGGCCAACAGTGGGCATTTCTGCACAAGCAATAGGAAGAGCTGATGAGATAGAGGAGGCCAATTTTCCTGCAGAGGGCTGCGGGGCAATCACCACTGGAGACTGGGCAACTGTTACAATGGGACCCTGAACAGAGATTCAGAATAATAAAATAATTCAAATGACATTCTGAGCAAGTGTTATATGATGCATCTCTATTTTTATCACTTTTTATCATTTTTATCATCAATGTAAAGTCTCCAAAATGTTCACTCTATTCTGGAAAATAAGCCACAATACTAAAAATATGCACAAAAATGAAGCTCATTTGAAAGCATCTCATTCATTAATTGCATTTTGATCATTTAGTAATATGTAGGCACATGCCACATCACACCTGTGTTGTGGTCTTGAGTGACAGAGGGCCTGTGACTTTAGGCAGGACAGTGGAGCTGCTGGGAGTGGTGGTGGCAGCGGCAGCAGCCGGTGTGTTTCCAATGGTGGCTATGATCTGGCCCTGGGAGTTCAACAACAGCTGAGGGGACACAGTCTGCACTTGCAGACCCTGACCAGGTAATGCAGGTGCTGCAGTTGCTCCAGCCAGTGATGCAGGGTTTACCAGCAAAGGTAGAGTGCCTATCACCTAGAGACAAGGTAATAAACTACTCTTATTTATATGCCGATTGATTTTTTAAAGGAAAAGTGCATACATGGCATTCTACCGTGAAAAGATTGGGCATGCTCACTGAATGACAGGCAAAGTAGGCATACAACAGTGCTGCACTGATTAAGTTCAATTACTACTATAATGATATAATTTAACACACTTGTATATTAGGTGCTGTTTCTATTCTATATAATCTGTGTTCTCTCACCTGACCCTGTGCATTGGTGATGATCTGGCTGGTGAGGCCTGCCACATTGGACATGGCGCTAGTAATGATGGGAGTTGCAGTCAGAGAGTTGATGAACTGTGGTTGGGCACCCAGAGAAGCAGCACTGATCTAAGACAGTCAGAGACATAAATGAGAACATGTAAATCAATCATCATAAAACAAAAGTAAATGCTACATATAGTAAGCATATACTTTCAACCCAAATTATGGCAAACAAGTAGGTCTATAACATCTGAACATCACACTAGTGAACTGTGACTTCCTTGCTCAAATTAAAATACAGAATTCATCTCAACAGAAGCAAAAATAGCTGATATTAGGAGTGCGCAGCAATAATGACAAAAGTACACAGATGAGCCAAAACATTATGACTACATTATGCTGTTGGTTCTCATGCCCCACAACAGCTATCACCCACCAAGGGATGGAATCTACAAGCCCTTTAAAGGTTCCTTGTGGTACGTGGCATCAAGATGTTGTTTGCAAAGTGGAACCAAAGTGGAGTGTCTTTTTCTCACAGTAAATCCTGGTGCCATCACTTCACCAGTTAAACGGTGTACACATACCTGGCCCAGCAATGATGTAAAAAAAAAAACAAAAAAAACCTGGACTCAGACCAGGTTACCTTCTTCCACTGCTCCATGGTCCAGTTCCGATGTTCGTGTGCCCTATGTAGGCCCTTTTAACAGCGGACAGGGGTTAGCATGAGTACTTTGACCAATCTATGGCTACACAGCCCCATATGTAGCAGGGTGCGATGCACTGCATGTTGCAACACATTCCTCCCTTAACCCTCATTAAAATGTCTGTGACTTGTGCCACAGTAGCCTTTCTGTTGGTTCAGACTAGATAGAATAGCCTTTGTTGCACTCATGCATCGATGCGTTCATTTGTCCCTACGCGGACCACTATTGGTAGGTACTCACCACTGCTGACGGGGAACACCCCACAAGCTTTGGCGTTTTGGAGATGCTCTGACCCATTCATCCTGCCATAACAAATTGGCCCTTGTCAGAGTCACACAGGTCTTCATGTCTAAAATATTACAGACCTTGACATGCACCATTGTTACGTAGTAATCAATATTATTTGCTTTCTCTGTGACTGATCATAATGTTTTGACTCAACAGTGTATATCACAGCATACTAAACACAGGCAATATGTGCAATATTGAGGTACAAAATAAACCAGAAAAACAGTACAGCCACAAATCAAAAATACTATCCAAGAAAGAATTTTTTAAATTCAACATGGTAGAATGGGGCACAACCTAACATTTTGTTTTTTGCTAAATAATCAAACAACATACACATTTCTGCTACAATTGAAGCAAACTTTGTTTCAAATGCCAGTCATTTGTGAACAATTCGGCCAAACATGGCAGGAGTGTTAGAACTCTACAGGTGGGGTTAATGACAGCAGACTGAGAGCTTAGTTGTAACATTTGAAAGAAAAGTCTGGTAAAACGATGTAAACAGATTTGATTTAGAACAATTATACACTGTTTGACCCTAACAAGCTTTCCAGCCTAAATATAAAAATATATGCATCAAAATAAAAGAGGCTGTGTCAAACAGTGGCAAATCTATTTTTAGCTACAAAGTAGAACAGCAAATATCAACATAAAAAAGCTGTCACATCACAACTAACCCCACCATGTGGAGGTTGTTCTTTATCTTGGCTAGCTCTAAATGTGAGCTGTTTATATTCTACAAAACAGTGCTATATTGTAGCCACTAGGAGTGTAATTAAAATAACATTGGTGTGAATTCTATGAGAAGTTATACACATAACCTAGTAACTGAAAATGAAAATTTGTGATGTAAAAAAGTTACTCAAAAGGCACAAAAGTGGTCTTCATGTCTACAACATCTGTTTCTTTGAAAATGTGCAAATCGCTGTTGTCAGAAGACAACAGTTTTTGACAGAATTTTTCAGTTTTTGACAGAATTTGAATATGCATGTTGCCCTTTACATTGTGTGTAAATTCAATTTCATGATGAATGGACCAAAAGAAACAGCCCAGAATTACTTGGAAAAAAGTCTGGTTCCATTGACTTACATTAAAAGTAGAGTATGTTTTTTCCCGTCTCCTGTAAAGTTATCATTTTGGAGATACAAGGTTGTCTTCTGACAACAGCGAAAGAATGATCTGACAGGAATATTAGAAGATGGCCAAAAGCATATTCTACTTGATCCTGTTTGATATACAAAATAAAACAACATAAAACAAAATTTATTTAATTTTCATTTTACCTCATGTCAGGTTGTGCTCTGTACTCCCCAATACACAATCTAAAACAAGACCAGGAATGAACTCCCAGCATCGCCAGTTTTCGAACTCCTGACAATAGGGCAAAACCATTTAACCCTTTAGGGCATTTAACATCATTCTAAATCTCTTTTACTGAAACACACAGTTGTTCAGTGTTCTTTAAGTACTGACAGTACCTACAGTTTGCTCAGAAGTACATATAGCAATGTAATTCAGTGCAACAGTGATATCATAGTCAAATTGTGCACCCATAGCTAATATATGTGGTCCAGAGACATAGCATTAGATCATATGTGATGCACAGCCACTTTCTAACTCACAATGGCAGGGTTGATGGTGAGGCCAGCTGTCTGGATTGTTGCGACAGAGGCACTGGGCTCAGAGACCTTGTGCACAGCTGGAGCCGCAGTAGCAGCAGCCACCTGCGCAGTGCTGGCTGGGCTGGCCTGAGTCGGAGTCTGCTGCACAGCTGCTTGTACTGACTGCAGGTGGGTCTGCAGGACCGTCTGCGCGGGTCCCTGAAGCTGAGGTTGGACCGAGTTCAGAACAGCGGCAGCTGCAGTGGGAGAACACAGAGGCACAGAACACTTTAAACACCTGCCAATCTATTAGTTAAGCCTATCACCACACAGAAGCCCTTGAAGCAACATGGCAGACATCTATGCCATGTTATGTCATTTCCCATGTAACCCTTGAAAATGATCAAACACTGAACAGCTGAGAGTGACCAAAAGCTATTGTAATCTTTCTCCATACAAGGAAAAATTAAGTACATGCTATAGATCTGTGGGTTTTATGGTCTTTCTCACCAATTTCTTCATGCATATTTTCATTAGAAATGGAAAAACTCTGAAACCTTGAGTATCAGCTGACATACAGTACTACGCAAGTCAGAGTCCAGGCTTTCATTTGTTTAATTTGCTGTCAATGACCATTTAGCACTAGTTATTCATTTTTTCAGCTTCAGAAAAAAAAGGCAGAAAACATTTTAAACAGGAAATTCCAGAAGCCTTAACAGCTAAATATAATCTCAATTTTTCAGTATTTAGCATGTCTGCCCCTTGTTTTTATTACAGCTTCCATTATTTTTGGAAGACTTGATTTAGTTTTTCAAAGAAATCTGCAGGTATATTTTTCAGGCAACATTCAGTTTTACAAGTTGATTGCATTTTCTGCTTCTCACAATCCAAAAAAAATTATCAACTAATGTATCAATCAACCTTTATTTCAACTAGGAAGTACACTGAGGATGATGCTCATTTACATCGTAGCCAAGCAGGTTTAAACAGGGATTGAAAACATTACAATTAAATAAAGTTTTCATTTAAATCAATAAAAAAAAATCAAGACTATCATGACTAAACAAAGAACATTTATTTAAAAAATGAATGAAGTAAATAAAAACTCAAGAAATACTGATAAAACAGAAATAAGAGAACTAACATTAAATAAAATATAACTTTAAAATAATCCAGTGACACCAAGAAGAGGACCTTTAGAGTTTCCTGTAATGTATTCTAGTTTGCTGGTGCACAGTAACCGAAAGCTGATTTGCACAATTTAGTAAAACCTCTAAGCACCCCACAGGTGATCAAGTCAATGGAGTAAATCTTCTAAAATCCAATATTTACAGTGGGCATAAATGTGATATAAGATGGCACACAGCCACAGAGAACCCTATAAAGAAAAAACAACCGGTGAGTTTCCCACCCCATGGTTTAAGAGGGCCAACCAACTTTTTCATACAGCATGCAGTGATGACTGTTGTAAGGGTCTCCAGTAATTAAGAAGAGACTGGCATGCAAAATTTGACACAGCAGCTACACAGTGCACAGTGAGAAAATATAGAAAACCTTTTTATTAGGAGGACACATCTGTAACCTGGTCTTAAAACTGGAAGGATGGAACATGTAGAGGTGCAGTAGGATGCACAAAAGAGAAAAGTTGATAAATTAAATACTGATGAATGTAATATTATACTCAGTGTTGGAGGATTTTGTGCAACTTTCTGCTAAATATATGTTTTCTGCTTCTTTTCTGACACCATATAATGCATATCTTGACCATTTTGACAGAAAATTAAATAAACGAAAGAGTGAGTTCAGACTATTGCACAGTACTGTATGTATAGTCAAAGACATGATTTATATAAAACCATTTTTTTACCCAGTTAAAATCACCAAAAAGCACCAGTTATATACTTTGCTTTTCAAGTACATATTATAATTAAGTAGCTACTTTGACCTACTGTACTTTTTCATGCATTACAAGCAATTGTGAGATATTTCCAGTTAGATTTGTAACAAAATAGGAATTGTCCATCATTTTCTGATGTTACCTTCCCCAAAACAATATTTTTTTCCATATTTGTAAAATATGATTTAAAGTCCTGCATTTTTACACCGACACGATCATAACATACAAACTCCTTTCAAATTACAGTAGGCAAAATGCAAATAAAAACAAAAAGCAGTGATTGACAAATCTACTTTGACAATTTGAACAAAAACAGTTCAAGGACAAGATAAAGTTTTAACTTACCAACTTCAATTTAAGACTACAAACATTGAAAAATCTTAAAAAATGCAATGCAATTACGCTTGGACATGAAACAAACATTCAAAGAAGTCTTAGATCTTTGATCGAGAGCTGCAACTTTGCCAAAAAAATGCATCAGCATTCAAACTAAAAAAATAATGTTCCTGAGTGAGCGATTGCAATGATTTTAGGTATTTCACAATCTGTTGTGCACAATATCATCAAAAGGTCCAAAGAATGGGAAAAATGGGAAAAAAGGCTGAAAACCACAAATGAATGCCCATGATCTTTGACCAACAATGAACACATTCTGGAGCAGCAAATGCTGCTTTGTAGGTGCCGTCTTTTTCAGGGACACCTATGCTTATTTAAATATGACAACACCAAGCCACGTTCTGCACATGTTACAATAGCAAGCCTGCATAATCAGAGAGCACAGGTGCTAGATTGGCCTCCCTGCAGTCCAGAACTGTCTCCCTTTGAAAACATGTCTTATTAACCTCAAAAAATACAACAACAAAGGCCCTGTACCATTGTGCAGCTTAAGAATTGGCAAAATATTCCATTTGCCAAACTGAATCAGTTTGTGTCTTCAGTGCTGGTAAAACAAAGGTGGCATAACACAGTGGTAAACTTTCTCCTGTCTCAACTTTCATAAGTAAAACATAAAATATTGGGCTTTTGTACCATTTTTAATTTAAAATAGATCAAATATAATTAACTGAATACTACTTTCTGTTTTTATCATCATTTCACATACTGTCCCAACTTTCTTGGAACTGGGTTTGTACTATGGAACAAGGACTTTGCTTATGTTCACTGTATTACACAAAAGTCATAAGAATCTTCTGCAGTGCAACACCTTACCTTGCAGGCCAGCAAAAGGCAGTTTAATAAGTCCTCCAGCTGGGCCAGTTGCAGCAAGGCCAGGCAGAGTGGCCACAGTAGCCGTAGGGAAGGTGAGTACAGCCAGTCCGCCCTGACCGCCTACTGAGCTAGCCATACTGATAGGGATCAGCAGAGGCTGGCCAAGAGAGCCCTGCTGAGCCATCATGCCAGTCATCAGAGTAGTCAGGCCATCCTGGGTCAGAACCTTAAGTGGAAAAAATAAAGATATAAACCAGACATTGTCACAGAAAACAGACTTTAACCCTACCAGACCAGCTGTTGGTGATTTAGACATATTTAGACATTTTTTTAATCTACTGGCTCTAGTAGGTTGTTTATGGACTAATATCTCCAAGTATAGTGTACTCAAGTGTTTACTGAGTGATGTACCTCATTGGCTAAGGTTGGGCTGATGTTAAAACATAATATATATAATACTTGATGTTAAATGACTGTTAAAAAACTGCAAGGTGTGGAGAAGCGGAACAGCATTGACTTTCTTTTTGTTATTGACTGAATGGTGTTAAAGTTTAACACCACAAAAATCTTGCTATAAATAGTCTTTCATAGCTTACCTGTGGACAAGCCTGGACAGTGATAGGCATGGTAGTCTGTGGCTGGGGCAGAGAAACACTTATAGGGGCTGCAACAGTCTGAACTGCAGGGGCTGTAGTCTCAGTAGAAACTGTGAGTATGGACATAAGGGAGGCTTACCTCAATGAATCGCTGTGACCGCAACAGGATAGAATAGAAGCTTGCATTTATGCATTGGATTAGCTATTGCTCTCTCACCAGTGGCTGTGGTACTGGATGCTCCTGGACCATCCTGAATGCCACCATCAGCTGGCTCTAAAGTTAGACCTCCCCTGTCCTCTCGTCCTGGCTCCACTTTGACATCAGCCCCTGAGGAGGGCAGAGCAGCATCCACTTCCACTTCCAGCACTCGAATGGTCTCATGACCAGACATGACAATAACCTGGAGATGAGTGAGCAAGTGGGGTTGTTGTGCATTACGCTACCTGCTATTTTGTGATTCTTTTTGTGAACTTTTGTGGAACTGTGTAAAGAGATGAAACATCTATAGGCAAAATTTAAAATTGTGAAGTACGCATTTAATATGAAAGACACAATAACTAATAAGGTAATTACATTGCAACACTTCTACCATGACACAGAGCATAAGCATGAAGGACAAAAGCAGCACAGAAGCAAAAACAAAGACATGGAGCAGGGCCCATCTAGGTGCATGGCTTTGCAGAAGGACAGTGAATGCATACCTGGTTGTCTCGAGCAGGTAAAGTCAAATTGCAGGAATCTAACAGCTGAAAAAACACTTCTGCAGTCAGACAGTGAATGGCTAAGGAGAACAGAAAGGCCAAGCACATGTTAGGGCACAATGAACCATGAAACGAGGACACAAAAGGAAAGGACATGAGTATAGGGAACCAAAAATAAGAGCATCTGCCCAAATCCAGCTTAAGCAATGCTTTCTGCAATGCCCCATCAAGAGAAGATTGCTTGAGCTTGTTTTATGATAAATGCATAGGACAGCACCAAAGTGAAAATACACAGACATGTAGAAGCATGATGCAAACCTCAGGGAGTTTTGTGAGATATCCAATGGAATTTTATTATGTGTTTACAAGCATGTAAATTATAATGGCAACATGGTAAATCTTTGCAAAAGTGGTCACAAAAAGATGAGTGTTGCACAGAGTGTGTGTTTTGGAATTTATCATAGCTCAAAGTGACACCTGCTCATTGACAGTGAGTGGAGCATCGCTTGCAGGGAGGTCCTCCGAGTCCATCGTACAGTTTGACTCCTATCACAGGTCACAGGTTTGCCATGATGACTGAAGAAAGCATACCCTGGCTATGAAATTACCTGAGGTAAGAAATAAGAGCATTGCTGATGCTGCGGCACCACTTCATGTTCAAGGCAAAACATTTAACTGCCAGACACAATCCAAGCTTTAGCTTACGCTAAAAACTATCCCAAAAACTCATCATAGCACCTTTGGGGGCGTCTCAAACACTTTTGGATAAAGAAGGAAAACATTCAACTCTAACAAAACTCTGCACCCTCTCAAATTCAATGCACTTCGTCTAGATTATATGGTGCTGAATTATGTAACCACATGAGGCACCAGTGCTCACCAACACAGCTTGATTCATGAGCACATGAGGGGCACATTTCAAAGCATAAATCTACTAGAAGCTGTTTTAGCCACAGAATTGCTACGCTGTTAGCATTCAAGTCGTGCTACAGTGTTATTGTTGTTGAAGGCGGGAGGGGGTGTGAGCTGGCGAAATGTGAGCTTTTAGACTAGCACGATTTCAATCGTACGTTATTAGCTTAAAAACAATAGGGCATTATGCAAGCACTGCGGAACAGCATTTTCACATAAAGCGGCCTGCGAGGGCCGTCATTATGGTATGTTTTATTGTGAGACCAACTCAAGTCTAATGGTAGACCACCATCAAATGCATAGACTTTAACACTCGCAGGAGAATGTCACGGAGGACACATGGTTCAAAGGCACGACGCATTCCGCTTCTTCATCTGTCAAAACTTGAGCAGGTGTTGCAACCCTCCTCCCCCCACGCTCGCAGCCTTTTCACAATATTAAAAAAAAAAACAAAAAAAACAATCGCACTTGCTTCGGGGACCAAACGTACGTCTTTAACAGGCTCCTTATAGTCGTTCTTCTCACATGCCATGCCTTGGGACTGCATTTATGTATTTCCTTTCTCTTTATCATAAATATATAAATTATGCTAATTAAGACCATTGCATATTAACCAAAAAACTCGTTTTCTATCGCCCCTTGGTCACGCAAAGCGAAAAAGCATGCTCAAATGCAATCATATTCACAACTTACCCGTGAAATTTCGGTTAATTTCTTTGTTTCTCCTCCTTCTCCGAGCTTTGCCACAGTTTGTTTTAGACATACATAATTAAAAATTCATCTCACAGCTTCCAGACGGGCGCTATGGCTGCACACAAAAGAGCTATTTGCATTGATAAGGAGGCTCAGCAGCGCCGTGAACCTCCTTTACTTAATATTTAATGATGCCTATCCTCGCTAACTATCGCGTAGGGAAACTTGGTGCACCTGAGGGATCAAGAGAAAGGGTTATCTGCAGAAATGTCCCCCAAAATTAACAGAATTTTGCTCTTTTGCACTACGTCATGAACATAATTTATGCAGGCCGAGTCCTGAATTGAAAAAATGTCGCTCGCTCAAACATAGCGAAAGCTATGGCTGCCTTAAAGAGACAGTACTTCTATTTCCAAACGGTGACGGTGTCAGTCTAAAGGACTAATGAAATAGTCTGTAATATGTTTGAAGGATAAAGTTTGGACATTTATGATAATGTTCTAGTAACCTCCAGGCAATAATGACCCAAAAAGTAGTTAGAATTAATTTTTGGATTTGAGTTTGCACTAAAGTCTTGTGATCATAAAGAAAAAAGATGAAAAACTCCTCAACTCCTTTACAGTTCCCTGTAAAAATGATAGTGGGATTTCTTAGTACATTCAGCTTCTTTCAGCATATGAATTAAAATTTGTTTACATTTGAACTTTATTTATTACATTTGGCCTAAAATTAAATGCTAAAGCTTGAATGCAAAAAGTGTGACAACAGGAAAGTAGCCCAGATGCTGTCACCAATCAAACAAAAAAGTAACCAGCAATGTATAATGCAGACTCCCTCTCTCGGTAATATACATTTTGAAAAAAAATGTAACAGGGTAAATAACTAGTGGCTACCCGCCTCTGGACTTACCCCACCTTCTGGTCATTTAAATGCATTCTTTTAAGTTCCTGCTTAAGACTCCTGTTGTATTCACAATAATAGTTTGACATCTAGTGGCCATCTTTGAAATTGTTCAGCAAGAGCAAAACATTGAAATCCTCAATTTATACTCCTCTGTGATCAGCTTTGCAGCTTAGAATGTTTGATATTAGTAGTTGGTAAGCTAATTACTGTAAATGGGCAGCTTCTGTCAGCACTACAAGATTGGACAAACCAATGGATCATCTGATTTTGACATTTCTATAATGTTTTAACTCATTTTAGGTATCAGGGACATCTGAGAAGAAACACAAATTAGCCGACATGGAGCTCCAAAAACATAACATGCACTTGTTTTAGTTGCTATCATCACGAGAACAGCAAGTAACCAGCTGGAACTGTATTTGACACACAAAGACCCCCTAAAAGTTATTTGCTGAAGACTCCTTCAAAGATACCAGATTTCTGTGATTACAGACTGTCACCCAACAAGCTGAATGTATGTTGTTGGTAATCCCCCATGATAGGACCCTGGACCAGAGCATGCACTTTATAGCAGGCCCAGAGCTGTTAAGTAACATGTCGAATATTAGTGCATATTATTACACAGGCTGGATCAGAGTGTTGCAGCTTGTGTGGATTTACACAAGTTCAGTAATACTGACATAATTTCCACCAGAAGGTGAAGAGCATTTAGAAGTGTTTGGTCAAAGCCGCTATTTTCAGAAAAGGCCACGAAAAAGAAAGAAAATGGTGCAGGGTAGCTTTAATTTGTGGTGTCCACCAGAGTTCACTATTATAAAACTAAACTGTTGGCTACAGACAATGATGATACAAAAAGTGATTGCACTTACACTTGTAGAAAACGAGGTTATTTTCATGTTTATCCTAAATTCAGGTTGCTAAACTACATGTATTTTTCATTGTAAAAAAGGGTTAAGGGAGTTGCAGCATGTCTTACACACACTAATCTTTCTCTCTGTTGCAGAGCCAGCTGGCGAAAACCACCATTTGCATGCATTAGCAGCATATTGCCATGGAGTTCAAAGGCAAACTGGGATTGCTGAATACAGGCGAATTTGTAATTAGCCTCAAATCAGCCACTAGCCTGCTTAAAGAGGGAAGGCTTGCCTTGAATAAAATAAATAAATAAATAAATAAATAAATAAAAACATAAATATACAACCACAAATTATTTATGTTATAAACAAAATATCATACCATATATAGCATGCTCTGAATACTTCAATATGCCTAAATAATTCAGATTTTTATGATCTGAGCACCAAAAATCAAATTGTGGGACAGTGGACAGATCACATATTTCAGGCCATTAACATTTTTGGCTGTCTGTTTTCTTTTCACAATGTTATAAATATTGAAATGTCAGGTTGAATGATTACTCAATTTCTTCCCTTCATACCTATTCTTAAATTTCTGCCATGCAGATGATATTGATACCTTTTAGCAACAATAATCATACACTTCTGCTTTTACGAAAACAGTCTGTGCCAGGGGCAGTTAATGGGGAATTCCATCAATTTTTCAAATTTCCTAAATAATTCAATCCTTGAGATGTGAACTTTTTTTTTTAATTTTGCCTTACAATGCCCTGCATTTACTCTTTTAAAAATACGTTTTAGACTTTAGAAAACAATGTCCCGTGCTTCAGGGGACCTATTCGTGACCAATTTGCGTAATAACTTGTAAATTGTGAGGTAGCTTTTTAGAGCTTAAATGCTTTAGATGACTGGCAGGGAGTCAGTTCTATAGTTTTCTCTATGGGCATTTCTCATCAAACCACTCTAAATGACAGAAAATTCCCTAGCATGTAAAAATTGGATGTTAACATAGGTTGTTATAATTTACTGTTTAAGAGACATGTTTCACGTGGGCTTCTGGCCACCTAAATGGATTTATTTTGATCACTTTGGGTGTATTCCAAGAAGCAGGTTTTTTTCCTTATATAAATTAAGTCAAATGTCAAGACTATTTATCGTTCTTCATTGTAAATCAGTGAATACGAGAAGATTTTTTTTTACCGTTTTGTGACATACTCCCTGGGCCTACTTATAATTATTTTAATCACATCACGCTGTGAGACAGATGCAATACTAAATGTATGCAACCACTACAAAATTCAATCGTTTTTCCCGTGAATTCTGTCACGTATCTGTCTCATTTCGCTTTAACTGGGTGTAGCGGACAGAGACATGACGTAGACGAGTCACACTGAAAAGACAGGCCAACGAAAACAAGGAAGTACCAAGGAAGCGAGCAGGAACTTGAATTAGTCGCGATAAAACACAGTGACTTTGGTTTAATACTCACTGTTTTCGATTAATTTTTTTTCATCAAAGTACAATGAACAACAAAGGTACGTTTACGATGCGGTCTGTCTTTTTACTGTTTTTATGTAGCTAATAGTTGATAGTGTAAAGGCTCCCTAGCAACTACAAGCTGCTATAGCTAGGTAATTAGCTCACACTTATTTGATAACCATTTGCAAATCTAAAACATTGGAAGTTTCATAATATTTTTTAACGAAAACGTTCAAAACCCTACTCTAACGTATCCGTGTGCTGCTAACTTTAATTTAGCTAGCTAACTAGGTTACTTCGTTTGCGGATGCTTTCGCTGCTGGCTAGCCAAAAAGCTTGTTTGCTAACGATGACGTGAATCGAAAGGTGACCTCATTAGCTAACGTGAACATGGCTAAAAATAACCAAATTGATGCTGCCTCTGTTTTGAATTTTAGTCGCATCATTTTAGGCCCCGTCCGGTTTTTGGACTGTTCGCTAATCGACTTTGCACACATTAGCTTACGAAGTGGTAAATGTGAGTTTAAAGTGATGATTTGTCACTTCGGCATGTAGCGTTAGCTAGCTCATGGCTAACTGTGGGAGATGGCTGCTGTTTCTCGCACTGGCTGTTAGACTATATGGCAAATTGGTGACTATAAACTATCAAAGCGCCATTGTTCATGCTCATTTACACGAACATAATGTAACCACTGATTTGATTTCATTAAGTGTCTTGCCAGCTGTCTCACCGTCTGTGATCGGAATAGAATGGACTGGACTTAGGGTTCGTGTGTTACTCTTATTTAGTTAAGTTAGTGAGGCCATTTTAGAATTTTCTTTCTTTTTTTTCAAGTTTATCTTGTATGAAAGCCAAATTACATGCAACACTGCAGAAATGTGGTATCCGCTGTCAGAAACAAATCATGCCTGTCCATGCAGGTCCATATCCACAGCAAGCTGTGTATCCGCAACAGAGCACAGCACCCATATACCCTCCTACTATGCAAGTGCCTCCACCTCCCCAGGCACCCCCCTACTCAGATGCCCCTCCTGCCTATTCTGAGGTAAGGAAAAAAACAGACATAACAAACTGACCAAATGAGTGAATGGCTTAAATGTTAAATTTTATATTAGTATAGTCAATGTATCTTAAACACATTTCTTTGTTCCCCCGCAGATCTACCAGCCAAGGTATATGCACCCACCCCAGGCCCCCGGTCAGCTACCTCCAATGACCACTGCATACCCTGCCACTCAGATGTATGTGCCCATGCCACAGACTGTACCGGTAGGTGCAATGGCTCCTAATGTTCCAATGGCTTACTACCCCATGGGACCTGTGTATCCTCCAGGCTCCACAGTCTTAGTGGAGGGTGGATTTGATGCTGGAGCTCGATTTGGCCCTGGTGCCACTGCTTCCATCCCTGTGAGTATGCAGACTGAACATATTTCTCATAACGTGAAGACATATCAAAGTGTAGTACAGAGTTTTCTGCAGGAATCATTTTTTAAGATAAACAGAGTCATTAAGAGTGGTCTAGTGTGTAATTGTGCATTGTTCACAAAGGTGGCAATGTTGAAGACTTCTAAAGTGTTTAATGCCTGTAGTACATGAAATGGTGACAAACTATGCCTGGTGCCAGAGATATTGTTTTACTAAAGTTTGGAGATGAGGGTTTGGTCTGAAATGTATTTTTTTTTTTTTTTAAATTACATTCATAGCAGAGAGGTACATGAATTTTTAATTGCCCATAAAACATGTCATTAACACTGTAAACAAAATATATAAGTTTCTCTGCAATACACCATTTCATATCAAACCAGTCTGATTTTTTTTAAACATATCAATGATTCAGTTATGTAGAAATTCAGAAAAATGTATGCAATTCCCCTTTAAATTTGATATTTAATATCATAAACAAGTAATGGCTATATACTATCAAATTAAATCATCTTTCTGTGGTTTAAAAAGGCCATAATATTAATCACTTTGTCCTTGTCTTTTTAAAATGGCAGCCCCCTCCTCCTGGACATGCCCCAAATGCAGCGCAGCTGGCAGCCATGCAGGGTGCGAATGTGATTATGACACAACGCAAAAACAACTTCTTCATGGGTGGCTCTGGAGGGGGGTACACTATCTGGTAACAGTGAGAAGGACCTTCTTGGGCCTTGGTCTCCATCTTCTCTGGTTCCCTCTCCCTTGGGGCAGCTTGGCTATGCCATGATACTGATAAAACCTACCGGAATGTAATGTTTTAGAGTCCCTAATAATGGTACAGTACTCCACTGTTGATATAATTTTCATTCATTCAAAAAAAACTAAGTATTGCAGACAAACTGTGATGCTTATAAAGCATGCTGTGTTTCTAGAGAAAGCACTTTTCGCACAATTCATTGTTCATTCATTGTTGTTCTTGATGCCTTTCTCTTTGATTTTGAACTTAATTTTTAGTCTACTTCCATGTTTTTTTATGTTAGATCAAGGATATTTTTTCAGTGTTTGTCAAACTGATTTTTTCCCCCATCCTGCAACAAATTGTGAGACAGATTTCTACTACCTTTCTGATCTGTCCTATCAGATGTGCTTTCATAAAAGTAGCTATGCACTACCCAGTCAGCAGTTTAATTACACTTTTTATCTATTAAAATGGCTTCCAGTAATGTATTATTTGTGTAAGTTACACAACATTAGATGTAGTCTCCTCTTCTGAGGTTAAATTGTGCTTCACATAGTAGAAATATGTTTACAAACTCTTATCACAGCTGAGTACTGTACCTTTTAGGCAAGAGTAGATAAACATAATCAGGTGCCAGATTATACTGAGCACTGTTAATTTAACAAACATTTGCAGATAAAAACAATGCAGTACAAAAAAGAAAACCTTCATTTTTGGTTCAGAAAGTTGGTTGGCTTTTTTAATTCTTAACCCCCCAATCATGTCGGATACCCAGAGCTGTACATAATGCACTGTTTAATTTTAGTTTAGTGAAATGTCAGACTGTTTCCTTTTCACAATAGTGTGTGCTTATCGCACAATTTTCTTTAGCATTGTCCTCAACGTTAGAATTATTTAGAGATCAGGGCTTAATCAAGACATTTTGTTTTCTTTTCAGTACTTCAGCACATCAAGCAGGTTTTCTTTTTCCTAGTCAACATTTAAATGTATAACCAAGGAGCTGGTTGTACCAAAGATCTGGATTAGAATGCACTAAAAGCTTTTGCTGTGACTTGAAAGTCATCTTCTCTCAATAATTCTGCACATGATAAATTAATAAAAGATAAACATATCAAAATTAGGGGACGGTGATTGTTTTGTAGGCTTGAAACACCTGCTAAAGCACACCACTGCTCTGACTGTCTTTTGTAGTAGGGTGTGTTTAAAAAATTGTATCTAGCATAACTGCATCTTGATGGTTCTGCATGCCTTTTGCACTTTTATTCAATACTATTTTGTTTTTAATAAAGATTTATCATTGTTAAATTTTTAGAAATACTACAAATATTAATTTATGTGCACTGTCAACCAACTCTGAAATGTTAGACTTTTTGCAACTTGTTTTTTGTACAAATGCTTTATAAATGCAAATACAGTGTGTCATTACATTTTGCTGCGTGGATAATTTTTCAAAGGCATTTCGTATTCATATATATTATTTCTACAGGACAGAAATTCTAACATGGTTTTATCTGCTTTTTGTCTCTACTGCATTGATTGTCTTATTTTTTTTATGCAGATTTAAAGCAGAAACAATGTTTAGTTGCCCAGTCTGCCTCTTACCACTCATAGTTTTTGGATAATTTGAATATTTTTTTTACTTTTTTTTTTACTTTATGCCATAAGCAAAACAGATAAAGCTCTAGAAAGATGCCAGCACTTCACATCAATATTTTTTTTATTTAATTTAATTTTCTTTATTGGCATTTGTGTTCTCATAAGCCTTATTTTTCTTCATTTCCCTTACTGAATATTCATCTTACCCATTACCACTAAACACTAAAATGCTCTGCATCAGTAGGGTGAAACTGGATTTGTTTTCAGAAACAGTTTAACAGCTTGTCTACTGTAAAGTTATTGAAATGTGACACTTGTTCATTCAGCTCCTTCTTCATGAAGGCCAGTTAATTGGTCCCCCATTTTTGTACAGTAAACACTGTCTTTCAGTTCAACCGCTGTGTTAATGTGCTTTTTTTTTCTTCTTTAAAGTTGCACTTGTAGGGGAATTTTACAGATTTTTGTAAATGTAATATGAATAAAATCATTCAGTCTGGTTTGATGTGAAATGATTCATTGTAGAGAAACTCCTTACAAATGTTGGCAATGTCGACAACATAGAAATATAGCGATTTTATGTGCCAAAATGACCTGTGAACCTGAGTGAATGAGTTTTTATATATAATGCTGATAATGTTAAAAGTGGGGGTAAAACTGGTAAAACAATACCTGGTCATGCACTGCCATGTATGTATTATAAAAGTATCTGCTTGTCCAAAATGTCAACACAACTATAATAACATAATGTCTTAAGAATCAGGCTATGTATTTGTAACCATTTTGTGCAGTAACTTAGTGTGAGGTACCTCTAAGACGCATTAAAAGCTTCAGCTGTCTGATTGCTATTACCAGAACTGTGAAAACTTCTGACTTTAAAAGTTTTTTTTGGAATGGCACATTTTACATCAAACCACTCTAAATGACTTTGTTTATAGATCAACAACAGAATTATGCAAAAACATTAAAAACGAATAGGTAAAATTTCCTCTTTAACAGCTGCACCGCTGGGTATCCGACACTGTAGTTTTTAATTTTTCAGCCCTGTTTTCTCCCTCATGCTCTTCCATTGCTAGCATGACTTCCTTATATTGTCATCTGAGTGAGGCTCAAACCCAGGAAAAAAAAGAGGTTGAAGACTTCAGCTCCATATCATAAAAAGCATTAAGCATCATAATTAGAAGGTTAGAATTTGAGATTATGCTAAAGTTCATCACTAGACTATTAACTTGCAGTGTGAAGTTACAGCGAAAAAAAAATTACAGTTGATGAACAGTTGGAGTTCATGGATTGTTTTAAAATTTTGTGATATAAGAGATGAGGAAGATGATGCTGAGTATACACTGAACTCATGGAGTTCCTCTCTAGACTCCTGCAGAAAGTGATCTGCAATTATGCTGGTTCACTTAACTTTTTTATACTAAACATTATTTAGAATAAAGACTATTTTGGAAAATTAAATGAAAATGCTGAAATTTGTTATTTTTTATTCAATTACTCAGTGTAATTTTAGCTGTCTACCACAACATGGAGTTGAAATTAAATAGTACAGACTTTCAATTGAAGTTTATGGTATTTACATCCAAATCAGATGAACGGTGTAGGAATTACAACTGTTATCATACATAGCCCTTTATGTTTAGGGGCTCAAAAGTAGTTGGACAAATGGACAGTCATAAAGTGTCATTTTTAATATTTTGTGGAAAATCCTGAAGTCTGGAACCCTAAGGCATCGCCAGATGCAGGTTTTTTCCCCACTGGTAATGCTCTGCCTTTACTGTAGCTGTCTTCAGTTCCAAACATAAAAATTTGCAACTCTTAAACTGTTCACCCAATTTGGATTTAAATACTCAAACCACGATTATTAATTTAAAAGCTGAAAGGTTAAATTCATTATTTAACACAAATATCCTATAGTAGACAGCAAAAATAACTAAAACTTTGTTGATATACAAATATTTATGGGCCTTAATGTAGGTCCTCCTTATTTTCATTTTAAATATGTGGAGACAAAAAAAAAGAAGACATCAAATGTATGTAATGATAGGATCCTGATCAAAACACAGACACACAAACACAAGATGTATGTGTGCAAGATACAATGCAACGATAAAGCATACATATTTTCTTACTTATGGCTACTTGGAACAGTGCAATTACAGCTTGATTATTCATATATCCTTCAGTATGACAAATGTCATATACAAAAACAGAAAATAAGGAACAATAAAATGCTGGACATGATCAAGTGACAATGGCCAGCATTTATCACAGAGATAAGAACTCAGTGAAGAAAATGCTTTCAGGATACGAGTTCATTGAAATACTACATAAAAGCGGTATTGAAAATACCAGGGCAATGGGTTTATTCAAGCATTCTTAAACCATGAGGTTACAGAAAATATTCTCTCCCAAACATTCAGCTGTTGAATTTTGCACAGCCTGTCTTTTTTTTTTTGGTGTTCGTAGTCAGTAACGTAGTAGCCGTAGTGACAATAACTGGATTTGGTAACTAAAAACTTGCATGCAAAAATGCACAACTACAAATGATCTGATTCTAGCAGCAAAGTTGGGAACAGTATAACCCATATCACTGGCCTTTTTTTGAATACGCAGCCATTTTGTTAGATACACCAACCTTAAGTGTCAACAACAGGCTGCCATGCTTTGTACGATCAGTTGTGGGTTGCGATACGTATTATTTGGCACTACTTTTGTAGTTAGAGCAGTTAGGTGACTTAATGTAGAGTGCCTGGTTTAATTTGTGACTGACAAGGTGGTAGTTGCGACGCCAGACCTCCTAATAAGTATAAGTGTCGGAATCTGTCACTAACAATAGCATGCCACACTGCAAAATTCCTCTACTCTATGCTCTTTTAACAGCCAAAATACAATGACAATACAAGCCTAACAAGCTAGCCAGCAAATCGCTATTCTTAGCTAATTGAACTGTTTCTCCCCCGCAAAGGGTTTATTTTTCTAGTATGGAACGTGTTCTCTGTGCATGCAACACATATCTGCATACTGACCTAGAGTTTTTTGGGGGTGACTTTTCAGCAATAAAAACTTACAATACATCCATGAGCTAATAACAGGATTGTTGTTCATCAAACAATGTTAACATGCACATCATCGCCCCATATGCTGAGTTCCGCCTTCACGAGGCACTGGCATGGGGTAAAAATTTCCCACTCAGTTTCTTCCCATCCAAATAAGTCTACATTCCCACCCATATTCAGCTCAAATTTTGTCATGACTGTCCCCAAAAATATTAGACAGATGTTTTGTACATGCTAACACTACTCAATATACATCGATCATGCATAACATTATGACCACCTCCTTGTTTCTATGCTCACTGTCCATTTTATCAGCTCCACTTACTCTATAGGTGCACTTTAGTTCTACAATTACAGACTAGTCCATCTGTTTCTCTGCATACTTTGTTAGCCCCCTTTTACCCTGTTCTTCAGTGGTCAGGACCCCCATGGACCCTCACAGAGCAGGTACTATTTGGGTGGTGGATCATTCTCAGCACTGCAGTAACACTGACGTGGTGGTGGTGTATTAGTGTGTGTTGTGCTGGTATGAGTGGATCAGACACAACAGTGCTGCTGGAGTTTTTAAACACTGTGTCCACTCACTGTCCACTCTATAGACACTCCTACCTTGTCAGTCCACCTTGTAGATGTAAAGTCAGAGACGATAGCTCATCTGCTGCTGTTTGTGTTGGTCATGCTTTAGTCCTTCATCAGTGGTCACAAGACGCTGCCCACAGGACGCTGTCCAGCAGTGACACTGAGGTGTTTAAAAACTCCAGCAGCACTGCTGTGTCTGATCCACTCAGACCAACGCAACAACAACAATGCTCTGTGAGGGTCCATGGGGTTCCTGACTACTGAAGAACAGGGTAAAAGGGGGCAAACAAAGTATGCAGAGAAACAGATGGACCACAGTCTGTAATTGTAGAACTAAAAAGTGCACCTATAGAGTAAGTGGAGCTGATAAAATGGACAATGAGCATAGAAACAAGGAGCTGGTCAAAATGTTATACCTGATCAGTCCTTAGTTAACTGTTAACTGCTACACTGGCCTTTTCAATAGAGACATTACAGAAGTTTGCAATATGTGAATTGGCCTTCTAACCAATAAAATATGTTTGTCATGTTTTTTGAGCATTCTGACCCAGCCACAGTTCTGTGGGTGTTGTGATAAAACAATGTATACATGTTATCCATCAAAATTAGGTTTCCCAACCCTAGTCCTGGAGTACTCTTGCCTGGCACAACTTAGCGCACATGTCAAGCTCCAGTCCTTGCGGGCCAAAACACTGTAGAGTTCAGCACGCTGCCTCATTATACACACTTGATTTTGCTCATCAGCTAATCAGCAAGGCCTTCATGAACTAATTTCAGAGCGTTAGAGAATAGTAAATGCTAATCTCCGTAGCACTTTGGTCTGGAAAGTCCCCAGTTTGACATGCCTGGTTTAGCGTTTTCCCTGGTTCACATAGCCAGCTGTACTCAGCAAAGGCTTGTTAATAACCTGATTAGTGGTATCAAGTGTTTAGAGCATGGTAGATATCAAAACATGCAGGACATGGGGTATTCCATGACCAGGATTGGAAAACATACCTGAGAAAGTCTACATGTGGTAGAGAAAATCTGCATATCGTCACTGTTGGCACAAAACCTCGAATCTCAAAAAAAACTACACAACGCAAAGGGTTACTGGAGTGCATAACTTGAAAAAAGTAAAAAGTGACAAAATGGAATTAGAAGGTTTTTTCACAACAGCAATGATTTACACCTGGCCTGTAGTCAGAAATGTGTTCAGGAAAGTGGTTCTTTAGGCTCACATGAACAAGTCACGCTACAGTCCTCCAACTACTGTTTAAAACAGTGGTGGCAAGTGTATCACAACCCATAACTGGCATGAGGCATCAGATACATTGAGGTGTACTAAGAATGTGGATAACTGCCAGGGCAAAAAATATATATAAAATGTAAATCATAAGCATATATTAAAACTAGCAGAAAAATACAAAATCACCTATGTGGCACAGAGAAAGGTAACAGCAAGTTCAGTTATATTATTTGACCACCTCACTTTTGCCATGACGCAACTGTACATATCAGCACCACATAAGCAAAAACTACATCAGCCCAACTATTCATCTCATTGACACTGTTTTCACAGTGGTTGTGTTTCTGAAGCAAAGAAACCATGAAGTTTCCTAACACACCATCTTTAAAACATACAGACCTATTTAGTATGTCCATCATTGGCATCTCACTCACAACAGTCTGTGCTGTTCAGCCCTGAGCATTTCAAATGAAGTACTCCTTCTTATTTTCAGTGACCGTGTCTTGGTAAACCTGATCAGGATCCACCCCTGGCGCAGGCTCTCCTGATGTTCGGTAGGCACCCTTGTTGTGACACAGGTAGCGGTAAAGCAAGAATGCCAGGACAGCCAGTGTAAACAGGACCAGCACAATCACTACTAAAACAGACATTCACAAACAAGAAAACACTTGTCAGCACACAAAAAAAACTCCCCACCCCTCTAAACCCCTACCTCAATCCCTGAAAAAGTTGCTCTAAAGCAGAACTTAAAACTTTAAATGGCAAATTGGAAGAGAACATCACCAACCTTTCTCGTTCTAACAACTTCTTCATACTGGTTTTAGATTTTTTTTTCCTATTTCCCCTTTCCCTGTTTATAGAGGCCAATCGAAAACCAACCCTACCGGTCAGGATTTCAAAGGGGAGGGACTTATTCTAAAAACTTCCCCAGCAAGTATCCACCACATACAAAAATACATATGTATTTAATGGCCAAACAAGATAAGCTTACAAATTAAACATGTTCAGCAATATAGAAAAAGAAACATTTCCAAAATGATTTCTTTGAAAATAAATTACCTCCTATGACGGCAGAGTCTGTCTGGTTTGGAGCCACAGGTGTTGGTGTTACTTCTGTAACTTGAAAGAAAGAAAGGAAAAAACCTGACGGCACATAACCTGTATGTCGACATTGCATGCTCTAAAAAAGGCTTGTGGAATTACAAAGATTTCTAAAACAAGTAAATCTGATCAGTATCGTGACACAGTAATCTGATTACTGTTTAAACTGCAGCACAATTTTTAATGTCCAAACTTTATATTTTGTACATGGCCTTTACTCAGTGCTCCACATACATTTAGGATAAAGTTGCAAGACAATGGCATTACAGTTGCCCCGGGGGTCCAGCTGGCTAGCTTTGAACACAGCATCAGCTAGAAGGCATGTTGTACAGGTAACACAAAAGGTGTTTACAGTAGTAATATTTTAATGCCCGTTTTCCACCATGTACTTTATGATGCCCAGGCCAGTGCCCTCGTGGACAGAGAGCAACTAAATTAACATAAGGCCATTATGTTTCACATTATTTTCCACAGTACTCTCACAAAATAGACAACAAAAAATGCCTTACTGTTAATAGGAGATGAGGGAGCCATGAGGGAAAGTGTTGACACTAATATCTAAAACTAAAAACAACAACAAAAAAGTCAGTAAAAAGCAGTCATTGTGGCTTTTTTTGCGTGACGTCAACGAGCAGATTATCACTTTTCGAAGGCAGAATGCAAGAAGTTTACAAAAGTAAAAGTGTCTACTAACCACTGCAGTAAGACACGAGGAAGCACGTCGTGTGGTCAGAGCCAAAGCAGAGTTTCACTTGGCAAACGGCTCCATTCAGGCTAAACTGAACAATCGTTACCAAACTGCACGCCCTGCTTTGTTTGAATAACACACCTCTTAAGTAAACCACGACTGGTGGTCACTCCACAACTTTCCACGAAAAAAAAAAAATCTAGCAGCACCAAACAAATGGTTCAGAAAATGCGACAGGCAAAACTTTAATTTGACCCCAAAGAACTGATGGGTAGGCAGCCCACCAGAAAGTCATAAACCCTCACTTCCTGATAACTACAATAGCAATTTCGGCTTCCATGTACTTTTTGCGTCAGAGCGGAGCCGAAACTAATATCCCCGCTCATAACAGTCATGCTAGCCAAAAGAAAGCGTTAATGTCCTTTATAGAACTAATACACTGCAAAGTTAGCGTAAACGCCGGTAAGTTTTAGTGTCTTACGGTCTCCGACGTCAAACATAATAGCAAAAGCGCTCCACATACAACGTAAATTAAACCGTAAAAGATCTTGAGTGAAGCAGCTGCCCAACACGCCACCATTTGAAATCCTTCAGAACCTTGAAAGCTTCAAGCCACAACGTTGAAGTACAAAACTTACCTGGTAAAGTTTGAAGTCGGAGTTTGAATTCTAACTCGACAGAGTGGAGCCAAGTCGGTAATTTACGATTTTCATTTCAGACTTTGACAGCGTTTTCAAAGAGCTTTTACATCGGTTGGAAAGACAAGGCACAGCGACCTAAGCATGCTGCTTTAACTTCCCTCATATGCTATGCGCGAGGCGCGCGTCCGGGCGAGTCTCCTTTTCGGGCGCGCTCCCGCAGCCTTGTCAAATAGTTAAAGGGGTATACCACCGATTTTCCTTTTTACGGTCGTTGAAGTGTAAACAAAGTCACGCAGAGTATTTTGATGTTTGATGGTTCATAAACTTAGTGATTTCTTTACAATGATTATGACAGGAACCAGTAGTCACAATGTCTACAGCGTAAATATAGACATTTAATTTACTATCCAAAACGACCTGTGAACCTACACTTGTCTTCTAAATTTATATATGTAATGTTAAAGGTACTATTCGCCCTATGACGCCATTCCTGTGCCTCACCTTTATTGATGTATGAATGTTCTAAAATAAATTTTAGGTCAAAACATCTATCATAATACAGTCTAGTATAATACAGACAACTTGAGATCATGACTTAATTATCTTATGATCTCAAGATAACAATCTAGAAAATTGTAACTACCTCATGGACTCTCCAGACTTCTGCGGACATCAGGTAGCGCATTTGTAACCTTTTCATGTATATTTCTGAGAGGTAGCGTTTAGAGGCATTAAATACTTCTGGTTCCTATCTTCACTACTGTGAACAAGTCTGATAGTTCTAAAGTTTCTCAAGAACAGAGCATATCACACCAAACCACTTAAACCATCTTAACCATTTAATTATGCAGAAATGTAGAAAAAACAGGCAAATTACCCTTTAAGAAACAACTACCATAAAATGACCATAGGCCATGTGCTTAATGCAGGGGTCGGCAATATGTGGCTCTGAAGCCGCATGCGGCTCCACAACAGAATTAGATTTTAGGTAGAAATAAAATAATCCTGCTTTGCAGTAAAATAAAGCTGTACTGATCGTTATAACACACCGTTCACAGTTAGACTTCCATTTAAGGTGGAACAGGAAAATTCAAACAAGAAGCTGGCAAATGGCAAGCTGAGCAGCTTCGTAAAAAGTCAAACATTAAGAGACATTTTACAAGAAACTATTCTACTTTTGCAGAAAGGTTTCTGTCAGAGATGGGAGAAAAGCACCTAAAACTGAGCTAAAGCTTAAAGCAAAGTGAAGTAAGTCTGGTTTTATGTTTATATTTTTTAGTCTATACTAGGACATTAGCACATACTGAGACATATTTACAGCCAAGATGGTGAAACGTTACCTCAATAAACTGTACATAAAATGTTGTGGCTCCCAAGGCGGTTAGATTTTTGTTGACAAAACTTGATAAAATGGCTCTTCTTAGCATTTGGGTTGCTGACCCCTGGCCTAATAGATTACTTTAACACAGTGGTGGACAGTAACACAGTAAATGTAATTCGCTACTGTACGTTACTGAAGTATTTCCATTTTTGGTGACTTTTTACTTTCACTCCACTACATTTCAAAGTCCAATATCTTACCTTTTACTCCACTACATTATGCGAAATCTGTTGTTCCTTTTGGCTTATGTGCGTATAAAAACACAACATGTCAAAACAAAAGAAGCACAAAGCAAGCACACCAATCAGGGTACAGCATGCATTTTGTTTTGAACTTGTTTTGCCCTGTTGGACATGCTGACCCAGTGCAAGCATACGGTTCAACAACAGTGCAACAGCGTAAAGGTTTGGGAGTGCCTAGTCCTACATAAATGATGGAACAAACTCCTGACTCTAACCAAACTTTGTGTAAATAGACCACAATTTAGAAATATGTACACATATGCAGTTGTGACTGACGTGTCTTTTTTCTGAATTTATACAAACACTTTCATTTTATAGTAAATTCGTTTTGGCTAGTTTACGTTTATGAACAGAGACCTGCAGATGCAATATAGTAAAGGAAACTTCATTTGTGAACCTGTGTTTAAAGCAAGTTTTTATTAAACTTGTTTTGAACTAATTTCTGTTTTTACTAAGTTGCAAATAAATCTTAAACCGAAACTTTGCTTGTTCACAAAAGGTTAGTTCATAGCCACTTGGTTCTACCTAATGGAAATTGTTTGCCTTCAGTGTTTTGTGCTTATAATAATTTTAATAGACATCAGTGACAGACTCATTAATGACATTCTATTAAAAGACTGGTTTACCAAGAGTGACAGTAGAGTATTTTCACCTAAAATGAGTTGATAAAGCAAGTGTCTTGTTACAAAAATGGTAATAGAACATTAGAGCCATAATTAATCTTTTAATACTTTTACTTTCGATACTTAAGTACATTTGAAGGCAAATACTTTTGTACTTTTACTCAAGTGGAGGTCTAAAGGGAGGACTTCTGCTTTTACTGGAGTAATATTTTACCTTGGGTATCTCTACTTTAACTCAAGTACATGGTTTGTGTACTTCATCCACCACTGCTTTATCACTGTAGAAGGTAAAAGATAGAATACAGTCAATAAGTGCAGATTTTTAAAGATAGTTTAATGGATGATCAGACTGTTTGCTAATTAGCTATTCACATCAATTAAAAACAATTTAAAATGTAATATATATTTAGTACAAGGAACATAAAAGCCAGTAATCCAGCACTCAAAATGTCCGTTGCCTCTAGAGGTGAGAGGTGAAATCACATGACATTAAAATAGGTGGACAATAATATAATATATAATACTTTTAATTAGTCAAAGGTTCAACTGGATTTATCAAGAACTAAACTGTTAATTTGATAAATTATATTTAAGCTTGATCAAAAAGCTGAAACATTGTATTTTGTCACATCTGTAATAATAACAGAAGTAAAAAAAGCTTTGGCTGGCAAGTTTGGTGTTTGGGCACAAATATCCAGGCAGTCAGCTGATGTGTATTTTGTTGTTCATCCCTATGAGGAGAGGAAACACATTACAATTAAAACAGTGAGCAGTATCTGTTTATCACTGTGTACTGGGTAGTTTATAATATTAACATAAATAACGTTTAAAGTAATCTCATTGACTTTACATATCTACCTTTTATGAGTCTTTTCTTTTTAGACTGTTTCCTCCTTCACTTCACCTAACTTATGATCCGTCCTCGCGGTTTCCTTAATAATCAGAAAAAAAACAAGCATTACAAAGTGGAAATAAGTTTCTACATCAGAATTTGGAGCAACAGCTACATTTGACATCTTACTAGTGCATGTGCCTACCTTGCAGGAAGCTCTAGATGCTTCTAGATCTAGTTTATGGTCAGAGGCTTTTCCGTTCTCCATTCCACCAGAGTCGGGTTCATTTAGCACCTCAGAGTGGGTAGTGCCGTTTTCAGGAGTTTCAAGTGTAGAAGAAGCATTGGGATCAGCCCTTTCAGAGTGACTTACACTTGGTTCCAGCACATTCTCATCATCATCCTCTAGAGAGTCATCTTTCAGATTTGGACTTGCCCTCTCTCCACCCTGGTCTGTGATTGGTAGTGGCTCCTCCTCTTTCATCTCCTCTCCTTCATTGTCTGGCTTTACTTCTTTCCTTGTGGCACTGTGTGCACTTCCAGTGTCATCTGTTACTGGTGCAGTGGAAGAGCTTGCCTCTACAGCAGAGTTGTCCTCACTCATGGAGCTTGTGTCGGTGTTTCTGGACCCATGTTTTCTGCCCACAATGGGCTTTGGTTTGGTGGGACTGGTCTCAGTGCTATAAGGCTCAAATGAGCCCCTATCTGACCTGAAACTTGAATTGTACTCTCTCCTGAAACAAAACAATAAGAAATATGCAATATGAAATCTAACTAGCTGACACTTATGAGCTTAAAGTCATATGCAAAGGTTTGGGCACCCCTGGTCAAATTACATGTTTTGTTGATTTTCGAAGTACACGTTCTCTATAGGATACACACATTGCACATTTTAATGCACAATTACTGTTTATTTGCTGAATTAACATATTGGGGAAAAAATAAACATTAAATGTAGCCTGTGCCAAAGATGTGGCACATTTTATGAAAACTCAAATAAATAAATAGCAATTATGCACACATTTAAATTTGTTCCCTGTAGAGGTTGTGTACAGACAATTGACCAAAATTTGATATGGGGTGGTCAGACTTTTGCATGAAACTACTTGTACTTAAACCAATAAATTAACACAAACGCTAAATCCAGGCAGCTGACTGTAGAGACGTAGACTGGCTACGTTCACATTACCAGGCTGAAGTAGCACAAATTCGATTTTTTGCCCTAATGTGACTCAGATCTGATGTTTTCAGGGCTGTGTGGACACACAAATCTGATCTTTTCAAATCCGACCTGAGTCACTTTCATATGTGGTCCTAGATCGGATACGTATCTGATTCGTGGTCATGCGACCTTAATGAGAACGCTCAGATCGGAATTCGTGTGTTTTTTCTTTCCATTGCGCGTGCGCCATCATTCAGCGCTATCATGGCAGCAGCGCTGAACAGAAACTAAAGTCAGTAAACGGTGGAAAAGCAACACATCTCACCTTTTTCGCATTCGTCTCGCTCTAATAATGAACAGCTGAGAGCTGATCAGAGTTAATTATCTTTGCAGCGAAGGCCCGTTCTGACCGTTTGTTTGCTGATGATGCACGCGATTCATTCACGTGACGTTACTGAGTAGGATGTGCGCATGTAGGTCATTCCAGGACGCCAGTGCGTTCACATTAATGACAGATTTGAATCACTTACCTAAACCCGTGTGAACCATCCTGTCAGAGAGATCGGATTTGAGCAAAAAATCGGATTTGAACAATGAGGCTTGTAATGTGAACGTAGCTCCTGTGCGTGGTATAGGTGATGTGAATCCTCAAGCCACTGTGTAATTATGCATATGCTTACATTAATATTAGTGATGCACAATCATTTTAGAATCATATCACACACACACACACACACACACACACACACACATCTTCTAAGTGGCTTCTCCTTCTGGGTCGCGGGGGGTGCTGGAGCATATCCCAGCTGTCTAGAATCATATCAGTATCATCAAATTTTTACTTAAAAAATATTAACATCAGACAGATATTTAGATCTGACCAATATTTCTAACCAATATTTAAAGATGTATTTATTGTACTCCTGAAGAGCAGAATTCTTTTGCGGCTACTATGCTAAATGTCTGCATTTTATTAAATTCACTGCATTTGTAACCCTCCACAAATAAATGTTATATTTCTTTGTAATACTAATGGATCTAGTCTAAATTTCTACATTTTATAAATGTTTATGAATTCCCATACTGGTGCATCTCTACTCTTTATACAACAGTTGTTTAGGATCAAAAAACTTGATTGGTTGAAAAGCATTATACCCCCTGATAAGACCATTTTTAAAGAAAAAAAAAGCATTGTTTCACATATGTTTTTATTTTTGCCAACTTCTTCTGTCAAAAAAGTAGTTTGAGTGCCCCAGTCAAACGACCGGTTTTGTTGATGAAAATAAGAACACATCCTCTACAGAGGACAAACGTCTGCACATTTTAATGCACAGGTATTGTTCATTTGCTGAATTAAATATACTAGAAAAAATAAAAACCTAACATTTGGCAAAAATTACGGCACATTTTATGTTGTAGCGTTCTGCTACTGGCTGGCGGTCTGGAAGTGTGGCTAGGCGCAACCACACGCGAAGGCTCATGGTAGCGCGTGCCTTCCAACAAAGGGACTTGTTTATGTGGTTTAATGTTATCGTCTGTTAGTTATGTGTACATGTTGTTTGTGTTATTTAGTGTCAGGTGTTGTAGGTTTTGTGTGTAAGGAGGGGTCGCCATCAGGGAAGCCAGTGGCTAGAGGTGACCTCCCTCCGACCCGTTCCAGCCCAGCTTAGCGCCCGTTTATACAACAAGTAACGCTCCAAATCAGATTTTCACACTGAGTCTGACTTTTTTTATTTGGTTGTTCATATTATGTTTTAAATGTAACCTGTATGTGACATCAGTCTGAACAAATCACGCTTCTAAACCGATCTGCATGCGTACAAGAACAGTGCTTCACGTGGCGACTCGTCCAGAAGTAAACAGTCATGATGGCCAGCAAACGCCAGTTGTTCCCGGAACTTCAGTTTTGTCTTCGCCAGCATCACAAGAACGAATATAAAGTTTCAGTGGTTGACAGCTGAGCTGATCACCCAGAATGTGTTCGATTTCGCCGAAAAAGGGCACGTTATTCGGCCACGGCCACTTCTTTGGTTCGTGTCCTGGGATTCTTTAAACTGTTCTCTGACGCTGCAGCCTCGGTCTCCCTCGGCCGCGTTCGGCCGTTCCGTTTGAACACGGAGCGGCTGTGATGAGTCTCTTCTAATTTTTTAGTACAGAAACATAAGTCTCAGCAGCACGAAATTATGACGAATGTCGAGTTGTACTGACGTAAAAGTCGCATGAATTCCAATCTGGCTGTTCAGACAGAGTCGCATTGCCGCAGATCGGATACGTATCGGATTTCAGTACCACATATGAAAGCGTCTCAAATCGGAATTGAAAATGTCAGATTCAATGCGTTTTTTGCCGTTCACACTGCCACACATATGACACATCTGTGTCACATTTGAGGAAAAAGATCGGATTTGGGCCACTTTTACCTGCTGTGTAAACGTAGCCTTAGTGTCTTGCATGTGCCCCTTCTCTGCCCAGTGTATTCAACGAAGCTCTTTATTTCAGCAGATCATGGCTAGTCCTGTGTTTTTCTTCTGTCAACGCTACAATATTTTATGTTTTATTTGTGTTTACAATATGTTCAATTGCAGCAAATAAATGCACTAAAATTTTCAGAAACTTCAAATTAAAAAACTTGCTATTTGACTCAGGGTAGTACGTGGGGATTCACATCACCTGATCTTGCTTATGTAAAATGAGCTTATTTGCTTGCCTATGGTCACTCATTAACATTATACACATTCACCAGTAGATGGCAGGACCTATCTGTCTCTGGCACTGAATAATAAAAAAAATGATGCTGAGAAAGAGTAGTACATTCCTCCTTTACCTGAGAGTACCTCTGGGGCTGTAACTCATGTGGAAGTCAGAGAAGCTGGCCCTCAGTGATCTTGGAGACAATGCATCTTTCAGTGACCTCCTCTTAAGTGACCCACTTTCAGTAAGAAGGAAGAAAATCACACTGTTGAATATCTCAAAAAATCACAATTAAACTGCACTATGAGGGTCTGTTAAACCAGATGGAACAATCAGCTGATATATAGCATACAGTAAATTAAAACCAATGCTAGAAGATGAAGGTGCACACCGGCTGAAGTTCTTAATCACAAAGTTCTTGTCAGGATGTTGAGCCTTGAGGTCCTTCATAATATTCTGTAAATTCTGATTATTCTATAGGGAAAAACACATTTTTAATAAACACTACTTTTACATTTTAATTTTAACAGAGGTAATGCTACATACAAATATGGACAATTGAGATAACTTGATGTTTCAAATTAAAATATGTTTTACTTTGGTTTACCTGGGCCATTTCCCTATAGAAGATATCCCTCAAGTTGGAAACAGCTTGGAAGACTGTTACATAGCATCCAATGCGACTGTGGACAACAGATTTATATACTCACATTATATAGATTAACAAAGATCCTTGAATTGAAAAATCTCCCAGAGTGCCAAACATTTAAGTGTGACCGCTGGTATTGTTACATCTCACCTATCATGGAGAACAGGCAGCTCCTCTTTTAGCTCACGGTTCATTTCCTCAAAGATCTTCTGGGCTGTTTTCATCTCCTCCTTTGCCTGCAAATTTGCAAAAGTTTCTCTTTAGCCCAATGTAACAGCCAAGACATATTTTCTACCCAGATTCCTCTTCTTTAGTTTTTTCACTGGAGTTACAAGGCTGTTGTAGTAAACAAGGGGCACTTGCCTTAAACAGCATTGTGTTTGTATCTCAAAGTGACTTGCTTGTGTAGGTTCTGACATTGTATGACATACTGTTATCTAAAAAATCAATAAAATGTGCATTACAGTAAAAACAGCTTAAAAGTGATTTTTTTTTCAACTGTACTTTTGTCCATTTTTATACGTAACAGTATATCATACTACATCAGAAAAAGCATAAGCAAGTGTATTTTAGATTACTTAGTCAGACATGGGTTGAGTATGTGATGTGATGAACTTCCACTACTGGTTAGCTACATTAGCCTTGTAGCTCCAATGCAAAGCTAAAGAAGCATATTTTGGGCATCAAACATGCCTTGACCGATGGATAACATTTGCAATCAGAGGGAAAATGTATAAATTAGATTTCTAATTTCAGCGCTTTGGCATGTGACATGAGAGTGGAGACTTTATCATGTGAAGTAGCCTCATTCATCCTAAATAAAGTACAGGCTTTTATTTGGAACAAAAGGACAATTCGTGATCTCAGTAGTACTGGGTTGCTATAGCCTGAGAATTACTTAGTAAAAAAGATGTCTGGCACCCCTTATGAACAATATTGTTTACTGCAAAGCTGACCATGTCTGTGCATGAGTTTAGCATACACATGGTAATTATTTAGGCAAAGTAATCTGGAACGGCAGGTAATTTTGTTTAAAAGCACAAAAAAATCTCTCTACCTACAAAAAGTAGGTAATAGAAATACAAAGAAAACAGCATACTGACACAAGTATAAGCACTCTAAAGTTACACCGACATTATCATTTGTCTGCTCAGACCTTGCCTATTTTGATATCGTCTCTCTTTTTGGCATTCTCTAGTGACTCCAGGTGATGGCGAGAGGAATCATAGTCCACAAGTTTTCTACCTCGTTTGGCCACTCTTTCCTGAAAGACAGAGAACACTGAAAGATGTAAAATTGGAAACTGAGCTAAAATATATGTGGCTTATAATGTATATGTAGCTTAATATTACTCGTATATCTGGGAACTGGCTCATGTAAGATTCCATGGTAAGCAAAGCCTGATCACGTAGCTTTGTCTCACAATCATTCCATAACAGGTCTTCTCCCTTTTCAGAGACAGAGTTGTATTAGCTCAATTAAAACCTACAGAAAAGGGCATTCTGAAATGCATATTAAATGCATGTTTTCATATTGCCCAAGATCACCTCCACTACAGCGCCAAGATCCTCTCCACCTTCCCAGTCAAGCTCATAGGCATCAAAAAGAGACTGAAAGAGACGACTAGAAGCATCTCGCATCACTGTAGGACAAACATTACAATTTCATGAAGTCTGTCTGTATTTCACTTCAATTCCTTACTTTTACATTCCTACTAATGGCATGCGTTAGTAAAACAATAGATCAACGGTCTCTGTTTGAAAGTGAAAATAAAATAGTAAAATGAAGTAAAACAGAAATTATACTTAAATAATAATAATTGTCACAATACCTGTAATAGATTAAGCTGCTTTTGTGCTTTCTGTTTTGGTCTAGATGCATTAGCTTTCTTTACTCAAAGGCTTATTAAGATGCATTTTGAATATTTGTATCTAAACTAATACAGTAATCTTACAATAACGTCCTAGCTAAAATTAAGATATGTTGGCTAACCTTTGATAGCATTTAGATATGCCTTAAGGTCCTTGTATATTCTGTGTCCATCACTCTGCAAAAAAAGCAAGATTTAAACAAATAAACCTTCATAACCTTGTTATAAAGCAGATCTTGTGTGTCTTTTGATTACCTGCTGGTCTTGGAGGTTTTGTACATATATCTCAAACTGCTCATCTCTTGTTTCCTCAGATTTACCAAACTTCTGTAAAACCTGCAAAATGGTCAAACATCTTATCAGAACTTGTGTAAGAAATTCTTGATGGATGCATTATGACAAAAGTCTTAGATGATTAACAGAACAAAACATCCGCACAATCCTGATAATTGATTTTGTGGGTGGTACATGTAATTACACTGACTTGGTGACTCACATCACCTCAGTTCTTATTGAACAGCATCTGCTTTACATGGCATAGTTCACAAGATCAGGGTATGGCAAGGCTGGCAAGATCAAAAATAAATGTGTCAATAAAGGAGGCTATTAATTAGAGAGAGAAGTTGAATGATGACATTGACTTTTATCATCTGTGTCCCACCCTATGAAGAAGATAAATACTGGCAATGGAAGTTACATGGCTTCCCCCTGCATTCCCTTTCGATGCACTTATAAAAGTGAAATGGTTCTGGGGGAAAATTGAATATGGCATGGCAACAGCATTAAAGATGCCGAACCTACTACACCTAAAGCATGGAAAAGGGTCCCTGAAGTTATTATCAATAGTGGAATAGCTGATATTTTTAGAATATTAATTCATGTATATACCTTTTCCTGTGCTCTGCTGAATTTCCTTTGGACTTGTTTGGCAAACACCACAGCTCCTCCCTTTGAATGGGTGCTGGGACTTGCGCTGTTTCTTCTCTCTGCCATGTTCCTTCCACTTTCTTCCTTTTCTGATTTTGACCTTCTCAGAAATGCTACTTAATATGCCAGGCCCTACAAAGTGATTTGAGTCAAGAGTCAAGTTGCCACCTATTCTTTTCTGTTATCTTGACTGATCATTTGTGACTTTGCCTTTGCTCTGTCATAGTCATAAACTATAAACTTCTTATCTTTCCATAAAAGCAGTATTTCAAACTAGGTGTGTTTCAATGATGACACATAGTAAGGGCTAACATGTTAAGTGTTCAGAAAAATGTTCATTAAGCCAAGAACATCTACTTCCTTTTCTGGGTCAAACAAACTTGCCAATACATGTTCTGGGCCGCAGTCCCGGTCTTAGACAGAATTTTGTTGTATTTTGTTGGAAGATAAGCCTACACAAGTGAACCGTGTAAAAGTCTTCAACGTTGAACTACATTTCCCATGAGTCATAGCGCGGGGGCATACATGCCGTTGTACAGGAACTTTGTGCTGGTGTGGTGATTACACCCTTACAGAACAAACATGGTGGATGATATGAAAGCAATGGGGGTAACACTAGCGAAATGTGCTGCTGTTGATCTGGGCGTTCAGTGGGTCGGTTGGGCGCTTGCCTCTGCTATGAAAACAGAAAAGTTTTTCGATTTAGCAGGTAAATTCAGCACCTACTTCACAAGATCTGATTACGCCGAGGGTGCAGAATTCTGCCTGTCAGGCGCTGTGTGAATTCAAGGGGTGCAAACTGCTCCTGCTCCAAGTGTTTTGACACAGGAGTGAGATGGCCATTTGGAGTTTACTTTAAGAAAAAGTGTCCGATATAAAAGCCATATTGGTAAAAAATCAAAACGTAAAATTATTACGACATTTGGTTTGCTAAAGTGCTTAAGTTGTTAAACACGCCTCTGCTTACATGAGCGCTCTTTGTCTTATTCACTATCGTAAATCAGCTGGAAGAACTGTTAGATGTCTCAGGTAGCCGTTGAATGTAAGCTAAAAAGCACGACTGTTCAGTAGGAATGCATACGAGTTTTTTGTAGAAACTATTTGTGAAATTTCGGTTGGCAAAGCACTTTCAAGATCCTTCAACCTGCTGCACACATTGTTGATTTGAACTACAGTTACAAATTTAAAAATTTTGGCTGTATGAGTAACATTGGAAACATTTAATTATAATCTCTAAGCTTTTAGCTTTACTTTTTCTACAGAGACATATGCGCAAAACTGACATTATCACAAAAAATTAGACATAATAAAGCCAAAACAGAAGCTACATAGTGTACAACTAGTTAATTCACTGAACTGATCCATTTAAAGGGGTCCTTTATTGATTTGTTTGTAATTACCATTTAGTCAGAGATTCTACTCACCTGTCAACACTCAGTTTTCATTTCTTTTCAGTGATGTACAAATGTTATCCAATCAGTCCACACTTTTGAACACAGGGGTTCATGTGCTTTTCCCTCTCTTCCAAGATATGTGCTCTTGAAAATCCTTGAACTTTGGAACCAATTGTCTGACAGTTCTTGGGTAAAATATTCAGTGAACACGCCTTGCTATTTAACTGGGCTGGCATGGGTGAATGGCTTCAACACCCGTAATATAGGAAACAATCCCTTAATTAGTTTCATTAAATGTTTATTCTTCTGTATTTCCAGGGTCTGGTACCTTTGTATTGTTGGCCCATCTGAGTCGTATATGGGGAGGCACGAGACATTTGAGGCAAAATGTACAGACTGGCCTTGTTACTGCATGGGGACTGAGGTATGCTTGATTATGTTGCTAGTGACTTGTATAAAACTGTACAAAGGCCATTGGCACAAATTTACTTTCAACCTAACAAGCAATTATAATAATGTTTACAAGATCAAACAAAGTTCAGGGTCCACATCTGTGTACAGAATACTATTTTGAATTAGAGTTCAGTGAATTCTATTTAGATGAAATCACATTAGGTCAGTAATTCATTCTATTAAGGCTGGGTTAATAAGTCAATGAGTTACAGGTTCAGCCTTGTCTTGTAGACTTGGGACATTTCTCTTCCTCCGGATCATGAAGGAAGGACAGGACCGCCGGTTTAACAATGTCAGAGATAGCCCTAGGGTATTTTTTGTGTACTGGACCCTGCAAGGTATTTGAACTGCTTTACTGCACATTATTTTGATGGTTATGGTCAGAAAAGTTAATAAGTTCTCCATGGTGCCAGTGGTGATTCTTCAGTGGAATTTGTTCTTAGTCAAGGACTGGGTTTAATTTGTGCCCTGGAAAAAGGTGCATGGTATATGTACTGTAAATGAATTCAAGTCAGTTTTTGCTTTACTAACGCACAAAGGGCTGTGCTGTGTGTACACTTTCATGAATATATTGTCTTTACTCTGTCACTGGATCAGAACAAAGTATTATGACTTTTCAAATTGTTTTCATAATTTATTCATTATAAATTGGTCTCAACAGAAGCAAAGATGCTACCAGCTTCAGAAAGCTCTCTTCTGTCTTTGTCCCAGCTGTGTGGGTGTTTGTCGCCCTCATGCCCACCCTCATTCTGAACACGGAGCAGAAAGACAAGCCATTGGGCCCTCGTGACTACGCTGGTTGGTTGATATGGGGGCTGGGGTTTGCCACAGAAGCCATTGCTGACCAGCAGAAATGGAATTTTAAAAATGACCCTGATAATGCTGTAAGTTGAAATCCATACTTAGTTCTGCAAGGTTCATAATCTTATTATGTTGTGGAATTGGTTTGATAATTCCTTTTGATGTGTTCTTAAATTGGCTAGTATTACATGATTTGCATACAGACCTACAGTGTTTATTAAAGGAACAGTCCATGTTCTCGTATCAGTCCTGCAGGCTAGGGCTGATACAAGAACATTCTCGGCTCGGCAGTGTACAATTATTCATGCTTTTAAGCTTTGTAACAATGCTTTTACTTATTTGGGATTTTATAGGAAGAACCTATGAATTTTAACCAGCATCTTTGTGGTGCTTCACATCAATGTACAAATGGAATATTTGATGCAATAGTAGTAGGGACTGCACATTCAGGGCTGTGTATGTGGCAAAGGGAGGATTGATTGGTAAACTCTTTAATATAGGCTACATGTACTGGCATTGTTGATGCATAGTTTGTTAATGGGCATACACTTAGTTGGCAGTTTATTAGGTAGATGTACCTTGTATCTACTTTCATTGAGTTTTTTCTAAGGAAAGTCTATCATAGGTGCATTTGGTACAGACTGTTGCCCATTATTTCCCAAATTTGGCAGCCACTCTTTACCCAAAGGGGCCACAATAGGACCACCACTGACCCAAAATTATTTGGTTCGTGAAACACTCTCGACACAGCAGTTATACTAACATGGTAGTGTTAGTGTGCACTGTGCTGGTACCAGGCCCATATCATCAAGTTATCAGCCCCTAGCCCCTGGGTTTAAATATCTGTTGGGGCCCCTATCTGGCTACGTTTTTGGGGTGCTCAGTGAATTTTTTAGGATACTACAGCACTTGTTGCCTGTTCAGCATCACAATGATAGCATACTAATTGCATTTTTGGGCACGTCACCACTATAAGCACAGGGTTTTTGACATTTGAGACAAAGCAATAGTAGGATTACATACACATAATGAAACGCTGGTTAGCATAAACCCACCAACCAGTGCAACATTCCCTAAAACATGCTAAAACATGCATCTATTTTTCATAATTCTCACCCTGGAGAAACAGACCATGAATAAGTGGGGTGCTGACCCTGCTATGCAGAACTACATCAAGAACACCCTGCTCCTCTGGTCCTTCCCTATGTTCTGAAAACTGGGGACTACTTTTATCTTTTGTACAGTCTCACATGGCCAGACTGTATTAGATGACAAAAACATTGGACTATTGTGATATATTTTGATATAGTTGAAACATAGTCAGTTTTTTTTTAATTAATTCACTCATTTAAGCATGTTAAGACCATTGACACGTGAACATATGAAACACCTACAGTACTTATGCAATAAAAAAAAAATATTGAATATTTTGGCCCATAGCCTATAATGAAAAATATGCTACAGGTCTTCCATGTACACAAATTCTAATTTTTCTCATAATTTACTATTTTTTTGTCCCTTTTCTGCATCACAAAGCCTAATGCCACAGATGTCATTTTTGTACCATTTGTCAGCTGCCATTGTGTTTTGGCTTTATAAAGCATGAACCTAAGCTGGTCAGAGTGCAGAGTCCCATGCTAATGTTTTGCATTCCCACGCAATAATGTTGCATTTGTTGTATTTGCAAGGGAATGCAAAATGTTTGTGAGGGAATGTAAAAATTTTGCAAGGGATCACAAATCTATTGTGAGGAAATGCAAAAAATGTGCAAGGGAATGCAAAAATATTGCCAGGGAATGCAATGTTGTTGCAAATGTATTTGCAAATATACACCACCGAAATGTCAACAGTGGCACCAACATGGCCCCTGTCCACTGATGGATGGAGTAAATGTGGGCTGATAAATTGTGTGCACCATAGCCCCTAATAATACTTCATAAACTGGTAAAACTATTTGTTCATAGCAGTCTTTTTCATGAACCCCTGTGTTCTAAATGAAATAAGAATATATTGCCTTCATAGATCTCGTTCTTTTGTCTGCAGGGTAAGTTTATCCAGCATGGGCTATGGGCTTATAGCAGACACCCAAACTACCTGGGGGAGATCTTGCAGTGGTCAGGTGTATTCCTGTCTGCGTCTTCGGTCATGCGAGGCCCTCAACACCTCAGTGTGGTGTCTCCTCTCTTTGTCTGGTTCCTGCTCAGACATGCGAGTGGAATTCCCATTTTGGAGAAACAGGCCATGAAGAAGTGGGGAGCTGACCCTGCTTTCCAGAACTACATCAAGAACACCCCCCTCCTTTGGCCCTTCCCTTTGTTCTGAAACCTGAGGATACTTTTATCTTTTGCATGGCTGAACCATATTTTAACTTTTGACTATTGTGATCTATTTTGATGAAGTTGAAATAGCTATGGTTTTAGTTTTTTGTGTTAATTTACTCATTTAAGCATGTTAGGACCATTGACAAGTAAATGTATGAAATGCATATAAAACACACAAAATACAGTACTTAAATAAAAAAAAAATTACTGAATATGTTGGGTCCCATAGCCTACAATGAAAAATGGGCAGTGTATTCTTAATACGTGATGGCCTAGAGCTGGTGTGTCAAACCGCAGACCTTCTGGGTTGTGAAATGCTGTGAAGATTTGCGTCTACCTTCATCTAACACGCTGAATTCAGTTCATGAAGGCCTTGCTAATTAGCTGATAAGCTGAATCACGTGTGTTTAATGAGGCAGTGTGCTGAACGCTGCAGTGTTTTGGCTCACGAGGACTGGAGCCTGACATGTGGCCTAGAAAAGGCAAATACTATTCTTCTGCTCCATGACTCTTCCAGTTTGAAAAATAACTCTGGGAAATCACTTACATTTACATATTTTAGATTTAGAGGTGATAGAAGCCAGTAAATACATTTATGAAAGATATACACACAATCCTCTTTGTATATACACATTTCTAAGCACAAGAAATTTTAGCACACCACTTGGATTTTTACATTGCAATGTTTTCTCTCACACGCACACAATCAAGTGATAACACCACAAATAACGTACCATAAATGAATGTATTTTACAAGCAGGATAGCAAACTTTTACATTCTGTAAGATTACCCTCTTGCTAAAGTTGCCATTTTAACACTTGATAAAAGATGTTGAGCTGTAGTGTCAGCTAGTAGTCACACTGTTGTTCCACTGCAAAGCTCTAACCCACTGCACAGTATAATTCAACCATGGTCAATACTACAATCTCAGATTGTACATGACGGTCTCTATCAAAGTCCACAGAAGAGGACTTGATGCATTACCTCTACGTACAAAGCAGATAGCTCCAAATCCAAAGAGAGCAACAATACAAATAAATAATCAATACCGAAGTGAGCAAAACATGTATTAATGTGTAAATCAAACAGTTGATTATTTGGATCTATGAATACAGTATGTCCACAAGTATGGAATAACATTTGATTAAAAACAAAACATACAAGATGTAGTAAAGCACAGGCATTTGCAAAATGTAAATGTTTACTATAGCGTCTGTTGTTCTTGTTTTCGCGTATGAAATTGCTTCTGTGTTTCAGATAAGAGGCTAGATCCATAGCATACAAGCTTTTGGGAACATCTCTTTTTTTTTTTCTTAGTCAACCTCAATCACATTAACGTAAGAATGTAAACCTCTGTCTAGATAGTCAGTTAAGAAGCTCCAACAATGCTTCAAAATTCCAGAATGCTCTTTACAAGTACTCTTTGGGAATAAAGACAGCTAATGGAATTGATTTCCCCTCACCAGCTGATGTACAAGATAAAGACCTGGTGGCATTCTGAAACATTTATAAAGTCTATCTTTTGAGCAAGAGAGATTTAGCCTGCTGTTTTTTTTTTTCCAGAGAAAAATAAAAAACACTAACACTCTGGCAAACCTTATGTTATTTAGAAATATGAGCATAAAAGTTTTTAGCACCAGAGGTTACTACCAGTGTTGGGCTTCTTTATAAAGAACTCCCATCCAAACTGATAAGGCTCTGAGCTTTAGAGTAAATGTTAATAAAAGCTAAAGCTAAGTGTATCTTTGACCATCCCTTTGATTTCCAAGTGTGTCATTAGTACAAACACCTAAAAACAGCTAAAATATAAAACGTGAGTAGAAAAAGAAAATGAGGATTAAAGCTTTTGTAAAAACATACTTGTAGCCATAAATGAACTGTGCAGAGTATTGCACATACATACACATATATATATATCAGCTATTTCCCAAAAATAAGCCAGGGGAGGCTATAGGCATCCTCAGGCTGTTTCTGGTTATTTCAGGAGAGGGGAGGCAAAGAAGTTGCCTTGGCGACTGAAGCCCACAGTAGACTTGCTCTTGCTGCCAAACCTGTGAAAATGAGGATGAAACAGTTGCAACCCATAAGTCCCTTTTAATTCAAGCAAATGTACTAAAATCAAACTTAAAAGTTGCAGTCTTTACCATTTAACCTATGCACAAAAACTATGAGGTATAGGTTTTCTGTTTCTCTATATTATCAATCCTTTAAAGCATTATTTACTATTACTATTCCTTTTGGAATGCTGTTCTGAATTTACTACATTTTGCAAGCACGATACCAGTCATAACCAAAGGTGATAAGAGTTAAAAAAAAAGCATACTTGGGAGTGATTGCGTTGAGTGTAGCGTTTCTCATACGCTGGGAAAGAGAGCTGGAGGATGGAGTTTTGCTCATTTGCTGCTCTGGGGTGGTGAGGGGGCCAAAGATGCTTACTGCAACCAAACAAAAGTCTTTTAATCAATCAAATTTCACACCTCTCACATTAAGTACGAAGCCCAAGAAATACTTATGTTTCTACATTTTCCCCCCACATTCACTAATACACAGACCTTCTATGCAAGAAAGCAATAACCTATTACAATTCCATGTAGGACTTAACTGGTATATACAACCCAAACATACATACCTTTGTGATCAGGAGTGGCATAGACATTGGTATTCTCAATGATAATGTGATCATTGTGAGCTTGATCCGGCTCCACCATCATGAACCGGCTCCAGTACTCAACAGGCAGGCCCAGCAAGCGCTCCACAACCTGACGTCACAGTTAACAGTTAAGAGTTTCTCAAGCACTGCAGCAGATGATCATTCTGGGCATTTTCTTTAGTTGGACTAAAGTTATTAAAGTAAATTTTTTTAAGTTAAAATTAATAACTCACATTCTTTAAAATAAAATTCTTTTATCCTGATTATGCCAAATTTCAGTGCACTGAGATATGAACAGAAGATGAGTTTGTTTCCTGTCTCTTACTTTAGGCTGGCGTTTGGTGTCCTGCAGGATAGTCATTGGGTCTGGATCAGGAACGGCATGGCCCACAATAGTGGGGCCAAACACACGAGCCAAGTTAGTTGCATCCATCTTGGTGTCTGAGCTTTGGGCAACTCTGCCGGTACATATTATATTTATTACATAAATATATGTACCATTTTACAGCCTAAATCAAATACTTCTCAACTTTGTCATTATAATGCAGCTCTGTATTGATGTCTAGTTTGTTTGACTTGTTAAAATTAAATGATGCATGTATTTGAAAGCAAGCCTTATATACTCAAAGCAAGTCCAAAAACAATTCCTTTGGAAAGAAAAGCTAAGCAGGAGTTGATGTGGTGGTAAAGAGAGACTTCAACAGACTGGCTACCTCTGCAGGTGGATGATCAAGAATGCCAGTGTGTCTCTGTTGGGCTGGGGCAGGTCACTGATAGTCTGGTACATCAGTGCAATGGAGTTGTCTTCATCAGCCACCTCTGAGAAGAAAAAACATCAGGCCATAAGATAAACAGTTAAATTTCATGAGGACAAGCACCAAAGCCTATTTGATTTGGATACAGAACTTTGATGCAGTCTCACTACATTTGTTTTGTTCATAAAAGCACGAAAAGGTTCAATCCAGTTTAGCTTTGTTTACAACATAATAACGAGATTTGCAACTGAATGCTGAAAGTAGCCGAAACACTCTGCCTAACTGTCTAGTGCATGCACCCTCATGACAAAAATACAATTAATTCTGTGAAAGATTAAGTCAAAGCTCAGTGTGTGTATGAAGCTCGCCATTAATATTTGAGTGCAGAGACTGACCTGCTGCTTCCATAAAGCTGCGGTTTAGCCTGAAAGTTAGCAGTGGCTCTTTGAGGTTTCTCAGGAAGTCCTTGAGGAGGCCAGTTATGGCATGAATATCCTCCACCTTACTGAGCAAAGGGACAGTCTTTCCACGCAGGAACTTCTCCTTCAGCTCCTTCACCACTCGATCAGCACCAGAAAGGCGGTATAGCCCAGTCTGAGATGGGAACACAGGAAAAAGGGGGTGGGGGGTGGGGGGTTGAATTCAACAAGCTGCAGAATAGCCTCATCGCTTGTCTACTGCACAAATTATGAGGGGGGAAGAATCCATCTGGAGCACTTTGTGTGCTGATATGGGGGGGGTGGCTTGTGGCTCACCACAACCATGACAATGTTGCATCACTAAGTTTTGCTCTATAAACAACTGCACTACTAGAAATTTAAAACCTTACTGTAAAACTACATCTTTGGCATCAACACATTCATAACCATTTCAGGCTTTAGCAAACTAATATGGCCACCAGCACTCAATCCCTCATTTTGGTTGATTTCACTAGCCCACTGACCTGTGACCTTTTTACTTTGTTCAGCTGATTTTTTTTTTCCTTTCAAAAAGCAGTCACATTCTGTCTGATCAATGTGCAGCCGCTTTCCATTAGATTAACATGTAAAATACGTGCTGGCAATCGAGGCAACAGGAGTTAATGCATTAGCACCTCACCTCATGTAGGCCTCTCTGCTCAATCTCATTCACACAGTGCACCACCAATGGTGGGATCATGGGCGATGTAACAGAGACATAGTCTGCCAGAGTGCCCTACAAGACACCAACAAACAATATAGCAGGATAAACAATAAGTAATAACACACTAATTGATGAATAGAAATACATGGGATACATGCTAAAATGTTTTGCAATTAATCAAATTCTGACCAAAACATGCTACCTCTCCAATCTTGACTGGAGTCCCAGCCATGTTGGGGATGCAGGGCAGTGGACAGCGCTCACGACACTCAGGGTGGGCTACTACACGACAGTCCCTGCACTTCAGAGAGATTTTCCCAAACTTTATCCTCTTTCCACAGGGAACACAGGACTCTGGTTTTATCACCTAGAGAAGAGCAGAAACACAGTTTATTTTAAATGGGCATGATATTTTCAGTGATACCCTGATGACTGATTCTGGTCAAAAGTTAGTAATCCTCTGAACATACAAATAATAAATCAATAAGCCATGAACCTAAAAATAGCCATTAATTGTACCGTTTTGGAAACAAACTCATGCAGGCGGACACTTCCATTGCTTTGGGGTGTACTTGGCTCTGCCTTGCTCTCCCTCTCGACCTGACTGGGTCGCTTGAACACGTCCACGGACTGGAGAGAGTCAGTGTCTGCAGTGTCCCACTCCGTAGCAGCTATAGGAAACAGTGACAGCAAAAATTAAGGTGGCCTCACACATATAACATGTATCTGCACAAAAAGTGACAAAGACTCATGACAAAACTGAACTAAAAGAAAAGTAACTATTCCAACAGCCTCATCTCAGTGGCTGTACTGTACTGGCTATAATTATTTTTAAAATTACTGGCTATGTTGAAGGCAAAGCAATAGATCATTAGTGCTGGAGTTCAGCCAAATAAATAAATAAATAAATAAATAAATAAATAAAAATTCGAACATGTTTTGTCTCACTTTTCAATAATGTGATCCAATAATGTGATTCTACTAGCACAGCCACAAAGACAGGTCATACGCTTGCAAAACTAAAACTGCCAACAATCTTCACATGTTGAGACAAATTAGACCAATCAAGTTTGGCCATGTTTGTAATGATTGTCTTAAATTCTTGCCATCTTTAGAGTGAATGGAAATAAGTCCACTGCATTAAGCTCAGAACTCACCAGTCTTTCTCCTACTCCTGGTCCAGTAAGGCACAGCCTCAACAGTGGTGACCGCTTCTATGACACCTCCGTTTTTAGGCACAGTTACGGTGGTCTTGGCCACCAGAGACTCATTGCCCTGCAGGTATTTACATAAAATTTAAACTATATTCAAACCTTTAAATTCCTATTCACCATAATCGTTCTAGTAACCAAAGCCGTTAGCCACTCATTACATAAAATAAACCGTTTTATCTTTATATTCATATTATATATATATATATATATATATATATATATATATATATATATATATATATATATATATATATATATATATATATATATATAGTTTGGAGTGCAATTCTGCATAGACTAAATGAGACAGCACTTTCAGTAGCTGAAAGTTAGCTCTATAGGGAACACTTAGTGAGAAAATGTCCTTTTCCTGATATTAAACCACAGGCTTTGGTCTATTTCTTTAACAAGGAGATATACCTTCTCTGAGGTGCGGCCAGTGGACCGGGATCTCTTGGCAGCAGCTGGTGGCCCATCAGTATGGTTTCTGGAGGTGCGCTGGAATGAGTTAAAGAAAACTTTAATGGTCTGATGTCAGGAATAACCAAGATTAATGTGCTTCAGCAATTTCCTGGGTGTAGATGCATGAGTCACCAGCTTACTCTCTTTTGACGTTTTTTCAATCGAACAGTTCTGACAACAGAAGAGTCCCAGTCCTGTGAAGAAAACAACAATCAAGTTGTGTCTATGAAGCTATAGAAATCAAACAGAACAAAAACTTTAAAATACAGTGTTCTTAAAATTATCTGTGATGGAGAGATGTGGAAAGCATGGCAACAGTGAAAAGACCTACCAATGAATCATCGGTTTTATCATAACTGATGTCCGACAAGATTGAGGCTGATTCATCAATGGTTGTCAACCTACAGAAAATAAACAATGTTAGTTCAATTAAATTCATTCCTATAGCAGTAGTATTTTAATGCAAAATAAATAACACATATTACAGAAGTTTTTCACTCTTGTTATCCTCACCTTCGGCTGCTGTTGAGATTGGCAGGTGCCTGAGAGCGTGCATTGAGGAAGGCCAGGGCTGAACGCTGCTCATCATTCAGCTGAATGCTGCTGCTAGAACCCTCTGTGACCAGCAGATCTCTGATCAGCTGGATCTGACGATCCTGCAGACAGCAAAAGAGAGAATGAGTGTTAAAGTGGAATTCCATCAAATTTTAAATCTGCACAGTGGTTTTATAGATTATGCGCATTATAGAGAAAATTACTGAATCTAAATTGTTCACAGTGGTGCCAACAGGATCTACAAGCATTTAACACCTCAAAAAGTTACCTCACAGAAAGCACAGGAAATGTTTCTAAATAGGTTGGTAGATGCCCAAGACATTATCTTATAAAAGTTTTGAGACAAGGTTTGCCAAACTTTTTTTGAAAGTCCATTCATGGAAGAAATGTATGCAGGGTGGGCAAAACAGAACCCAATATTTTTTTCTGATTTACCACCATTCTTTTAATAACATTTTTAATGTTACAACTCAGTGGACACATGCAGGTTCATAGTTTTGCTATATTTATGTTATAGACATCACAAATCTTGGTTCCCATTGCCACCATTCCAATGAAATCGAATCCGATAAGTTTCTCTACAATGCACCATTTCACATAAAACCACTATGTATGACACTTCAATTTTAAAATTCTTTCTTTTTAAGAGATGAGATAAATGACCACTAAGAGATGTTGGCCAGTCACGTATGTGCAATGTATCTTTGGGTCACACACCAGTTTTTCACAGTCAGCTTCAGCTTTTTGTCGCCTGCGGATTTCCACGTCCACTTGGTTGCGAGCATGTTTGAGCTTGACCTCCAGAGCCCCTCTCTCTGTCTCTGCTTTGGCAAGCACCTCCTTACATGAAGCCAGCTCGTGCTCTACTCTCAACCATTTACGACGACAGTCCTCAAAGTTCAGTGCCATCTGAATGAACTCTAAAAAATGCGTGCACAAGCGTGAGAAATTCTGTTCTTAAGACATTAGCGTGCACAAACTTTATTCATGTAAATACAGGAGTATACTCACGGGGCTCAATGCTTTCATTGAGGATGTCAACATGGGCTCGAAGATTTTCGAACACCCCGAGGAGGTTCATCATAGCAGTCTCCATGTTCTAAGGTTACACAACAAAACAGGGAAAAAAAATATCCAACAAAGACATTGTACGATTCGGGTATTCCAGCAAAAAAGGCGTACGGTAACTATTGTTCACAACCGGTTAGGCGCTGACAGCAGTTCCAGTTTTAAAAACTTCATCTTGAAGGAATAACGTTGACTTACATTAGTCATCTAAGTACACACTAACTAGCTAACGTTAGCTAAGTGAAATCGATACCTGGTTAATTTCCTACAGCCTCAGAAACATGAACTTCAGTCCAAAACGCAGTTTCTTAAGAAACAGAGTGTAACGTTAATACACAAGAACATTCCAAAACGCCAGCTAACCTAACCTAGTTAACTAACTACATATTAGTAACAGACGTTAAGTTACACTGCACTCTCTTCTAAAATAACTAGCCTAGCTAGCTAACTAAGTTACTGTCCATTTCATTAATAACGGGGCTAACGCTCAAGTGCAGCTTGCTAGGCCAACTAAGTTAACCCGTTACCTAAGAAAGATAATGTATTGTTAGCCAAAAACGAACGCAAAGTAAACAAACCATGACTAAAGAAACTGAACCTCGCTGGTTTGCAAGTACATAACCAGCCTGCTGTAAACGACTAACGTTACGGTGATAGCATTAGCTGCTCTCATTAAAACGGATCACGCCGTAATCACCGTCGACTTGCTAGGTAACAGTTCAACAAGTCAGCAAACCTACGCTACGTTAGCTCTATGAATTAACTGCATTTACTTACTAATACGTTGAATCCTCTCGAACAGCTTTTACGATAATTTTCAGGGTGATAATTGGAAAACAGCCTAGCAAAACTGCAAAAAATTAACTACCCATCCGCACGGTTGCAGTCAGACCATATTGCTAATGGACTAGCATTCGAGGTGGTTGCATTTCAAATTTACCCGCCAGCCAATGAGCGTTAAGACGCACAGGCGTGGAAACAATGACGCGATATGAAGAGGTGGAATCTGTGCGACTGAGGTTCCCTTAAAGAGAGGGTTATGTTAGTGATTCATTAAAGAAGCACTCAGAAAGGCTTTTCATTAATTCGCAAATAGCCCGGTAACCCGACACAAAACATGCTACGAGAAAAGTGGATCTTTGGGAAAAAATAATTAAGCTAGTTAGTGCATAAATAAATAAATGTTCAAATTTAGGCTTACATTTCCACGTGCTGTGAAATTTGATCAAGGACAAGGTTTGATCCTTGATCTGAATCAACGAAAACCCACCATCTTTAGAAAGAAATTTCTGCTGTCAGTGTTCGTGTGAAATAACCGTAAAATAATACAGAATAATAGTACTGTTACTGCTACTACTGCTGCTGCTACTACTACTACTAATAATAATAATAATACATTATTAATGTAACATTATAATCTAAAAATAGGATAGAAATATTTATTGGTGAAATTCTCAAAATACTTTTTAATAGTGATAATAATCTCAAACTGATAGGAACTCTGCTTTTAGGGCTTTCACTGGTTTGTCACCTCATAGCTTGATTTATCACTGTTACTTTCGGTTAGGATGAATCTAGGGTAGATGAGCCATCTCGCATTTGACTGAAATTTATCTACTTCCCTGCTAGTGCATTTAAAGCCAAAAAGCAAAAGTGCAGTTATCTCGCCATATGTACATTATACCCCACTGGCAAAACTCTACTGTGCTCATGTCTACTCGGTTTTCACCAAACACTGAACATGTAGCTACCTTGATCAATTGGAAACACCTTTCTGAAAATGTAGTCAGTATTGCCTGTTTACAGCAGCCTTTGAATTATTCACCAAGTACTTGTAGTTTTCAATAGGGTGTATTGTGTGTTTGCATATGTGCATATGTGTGTGTGTGTGTGTGTGTGTGTGTGAGAGAGAGAGAGAGAGAGAGAGAGAGAGAGAGAGAGAGAGGGAGAGGGAGAGAGAGGGAGAGAGAGGGAGAGGGAGAGGGAGAGGAATAGGATATGTTTTAGACGGACTTCGTTTTGTGTTCATTGACATTCTCATCCTCACGGGGGAAGTCTCCTGAGTGAGATGAAGCTACGAGCTATTTTGATTAATTTCTTGGATGGTCAATAAGCATTGATCTAGGGTGAAGAATAGAATTGAGAGAAGAAAGACAAACGAGTGAATGAGAAAAGGAGGGAGGGGAGACTGAGAATAAGACGGGGGAGAAATAAAAGAGAGAAAGAGGGAGGAAGGACAAAAAGAAAAGAGATAGCGAGAGAGAGGACAAACAGGAGAGAGAGGAGAGAGAGATGGGGTAACTTCATCTACACTATAACAGAACAGTGTTGCTGGTGTTGAGATCATTTCGGCTCACTGTAGTGGCTCCAGCGCGTGAGGAGTCACGGACGCGAGGCTTCACAGCTTTTCATCTTTTGTGCGGAACTCGATTCACTCTGAGCTGCTGCAAACATGATCGCCACCACGCAGCAGAACATGACAACGGACCTGGTAAAAAGTGCATGCGTTTTTAAAATCTTTTTCTTCTTTTTCTCTCTCCATCGCTGTTGGCTAGGCTAATGCAGATGCATGCTGAGCGGTGTGTATGTACAAGTGTGTGGCTTAACCGTAGGAAAACGAGTGTGAGTACGAGCGTACAGTTGAAATGAAACTGACAAATCCATTCGTGAGAGCAACATGCTGATTGAATTTCGACTCTGAACGTGGAGTTAGTGAGACCGTTCCTTCCCACTGGTATGGCAAGCCAGTGTGAAAACACGTTAAAGCCCAGCAGACTTTCCATTCATACTTCTACAGCCCAGCCATGTTCTTCTTCTCTATTTTCTACTCTTCAGACCCTCTAGCCCATCACTGCTTTCAAGTAAGCATAACAACGTTTAACACCTTTTGTGCTGCTGCCTCTGCTGTGATAAGTTGTGGATTTGCTATTCTGTGTTTAGCAGTAATTCTATTTGTATTTGTGTTAGTTGATTCCAGATCCAGTGGTCTTTGTGCACAACCACAGCTCTGGACAGGTGCATCTCAATTTAAACAGGTTTGGGTTCCCTACTTTGCCTCGGTGATAATAACAATAATACAGGTAGATGGTATTCCCAACTGAGGCATCAACACATTGATATCTTCTTTGCTGTTGGCACACAGACATCAACAACTCATTAAATGTTAGTGTCTCTGTGAATGACACTCTGGAGAGTGTTTTTGCCAACCCATTTCTTAGATTGTCTCCTGGGGAGTATGCATGTGAATGCATTGGCTTTGGGGAACAGATGAGTATGCTTAGTCTTACTGGTCTTGATAAACACAGACTCAATTTTTTTAGGATTGGATAGCATTTAAAGTGACATGCCAACCAAAATTAAACATTTAACTATTGCCATATCTGTTGGAAAACATGCCTACTTACCACCTACATCAAGTCCCCAGTAGTTTCTAGAGTAGGAGTTTTCTGGTTTAAAGAATAGGAAAACCCCCTTCTGATTATGTATCTTGAAGGTACAAGGATCTTTTTAGAAGAAGAAGTGCTTTCGAGCAGTTACATGAGGACAGACTGTTTGATTTTTTTTCTGCTAGCTGGTAAATGCAGAAAGAAACTAGATAGCTAACATTACTGCAAGGAAACCAGGAATATCACACCTGTATTTATTAGCCTCTACATGAGTGGTACATCAGTTAATTATTTTATTGGGGGATTCACTATGGTTGTATGACAATCCTGTGTTGCATCCTTGTTATTGTAGTGAGAGAATACTGATGGACAAAACCCAAAAAGAGTGTAAAATTTAAACTCTCTAAAAATTATCATGCAATTCTGCATCACAAGATATTACAGAATATGACAAATAATATAGTAACTTCTAATTTCTGGGCCCCTTAATCAGACGCAGAGAAGATACAAGGCATTTCTCATTATCACAGACAAATGGTTCATTTTATTGAAATGTCCTGTGTCTTTTCAAAATACTTGTGTCTACTGATGTCATTTGTTGGCTGTAGATTTGCTGATACCCTGGAAGTGTCACTGTGACAGAACGTTATTGTTCTGTGTGTTTTGGTTTTTGAATGGCATCAACAAGAGTGGAGTATCACCATTAACTAGATTCAAAGCTCAGACTTATATATAACACTATGAGTCTCTCGAACACACCAATTAAACACATTCTGTTTGTAAATGAGATTTGGCATTGTAAACAGCTATATAGCTGCAGCACAAAGGAGATGGCAGAGCTGCACATGTATTCACTCTGGCTCTGCATGGCCCGCAGGCAGATAGGAGACTACCTGAGTAATTAGTTTGGTTCTATTGTGCTGCCTGCTCTGCATTCTGCCTCTCATGCCTGAAAGTAATATTCGCCAGCACTTTCATAATTTGTTTTGCATGTAACAGCCTTGCCAGTAGGCCTCAATATGTTTTCAACATGGCATGATGCTGCCGTGCGTGTGCTTAGGAAGTGCTTTCCTATTTAACTAATTCCTTAATTATGTTCCACTTTAGTCATGCTTTATATCCTGCTTAATATTCCACCAAGGAATAGCCTAGGAATCTATGTGTTCCTCCATGTGTTTGTTGGTATGTCACTTGAATGAGAAAGGACAGCAGATCTGTAGGCGCAATGTGTATTTGATGAGAAGGGTCAAAAAAGCCAAATACATGGTATTCCAAGGCCGTGATTTTAATTTTTTAACCTTTTGTCACAGCGTTTATAGTTGCCTACCTCAGCAGGAAAAGCTCTATAGATTTGTCACAACCAGAGAGGCATTTTGTGCTTTGCAAGCAGAATTTTTATATTATATTTTTGTCGTATGGCATGACAAAGTGGTAACCTTCAGTAGTATATTATCTATATAAGTGTTAGCATGTAGATAAATGTGGTTGTGGTGCAAAATAAGTTGAAAGTGACTCTATTAACAGTTGCAGAAGAATTATTTATATTAAGGAATGTACTGACCTACTCTCATGGAAAAACTGTATTGCTTGTTTATGGACTTCATTACTGGTCAAAAATTTCCATGAAGTTTTATGAGATCTTCATATTAAAAAGTGGACTTAGAATATTATTGCCTAGAGTGGAAAATGCTGTCAAAATGATTATATTACCAAATATGAACTCTTAACAAGAGCAGACGCATCTATTATTTACACTTCCTTCATCTTGTCAATCAGGACTGCACAGCAAGCTGCTTACCAGCCATTCTCTCTCTGTTCTGTTTATTGGGAGCTTCGCAGCCAGACTTCATTAATTTTCACTGTATTTTTCCAGAGTTCCTGGATCACATGGAAGTCATTGTCTAGAGATTAGTTAGTGTGCCTCCACATTTTCATTTGCTAATGCAGCAACACTTGAAAGTCTTGCCAAGTGCCCTGGTTTAAAGCCTCCAGTGCCTGCTCCGCCCCATCACGTTCCTCTAGAGCCCTGTTCCATCATGAGAAAATGGGATGTGGCAGTGAATAGTTGCTTCAGTGACCAAGTACTGTATTTATGATTGGATGTGACATGAAGTCACTGTCAGAGAGGTGGTGTTCATAGACAGAATATGCATATTTGATTATTGATAGTTATTTTTTTATGGCTGAAGTAAGATTAACATGTCATACTACTACAGATTGTGACACTGTAAAATAAGGAGCTTTACATAGTGAACTGCTATCAGTTGATATCATTAAAGCAGACAACAGGTCTTCCCCATACTGTTTCTGATGAGCAGAAATGATTTTGAGAAGGTTGTTTCTTTTTCTACAGTTTCCCTTATTGATAGTGCTCTGTCAAGTGTCTTGTGCGTATTCCTGTGGACTTAAAATCTTACTGTCTGCTCATTGTCATAAAACCAACCGACTGCCAAAGCCAGGCCTTGCAGTTGTTAGTATTAATCCACTGCCTTGTATGCTAAGCTGTTGGCCACACTACATGTACTTGAAAGATTTTGGCTGATCAAGCCCTTCTGTTGCATTCATCTACAACAAGAGGGCTTTCTCTGAACTATATCCACTTGAACCATTGTGATCTCCGTAGGCTTTACGGCAACAACCTATTTCCCCCCCTCCCAAACAGCAACGACAGTTGCTTTACTTGAAAGCCTATAGGTGTAGGAGCCAAATTTCTAGATTATGGAAGACAGCCATCTGGAACAGGGTCCAGGGTGTCATCTTATCTTTTCTTTACTGAAGGAAAATGCTGCACAGTGTTAAAACGATCAGTGTATGTGTGTCACGCTGAGCAGGCAGCACCTGAACAGGGCTTGCTTTGTGTGTCCTTAAACAAAAAATGCTAAATAAATATAACTAGGGCAGCACAATATGTCATCTGTTATTGTGATATTGGACTTTGCAATGCTGATATCATACAAGGCTGATGTAGGCAAAAAAAGCCCTCTAACCAACTGCAGTGATTTTTCCTGTGTGTTGTTAGCATCTTGACTAGTCACAATTCCAAATAGTCCTGTCACGAGCAGTAAATTTTGCTGATGATTAACCTCCATATACATAACTAAAATTAACAATTTAATTGTCTTTTTAGTGGTGAATGGATTTTCTTGATGCATCGTTTATAATTTCTACCAATGCAAATATAAAAGGATTGTAAAAGGAAAAAATAATACTGAATTGTCTGCATTGTTTAAAAATTAATTTTACATGCTTCAAATAGAATACATTAGGAATCAAATCAATTTGCTGTCAACTCAAAGATTTACTCCTCAAGTCTTTTTTTGTTCTTTGCATGCAGCCATTGGCCAAATTGGAGGTTTCTTGGTTTTCTATACTTTCTATAGCTTTAAATACTTAACAGAAACAAAAATAGCTTGAGATAAAATAATCAAACATCACTCACCAGTGCCAAAGTAAAAATTAGAACTTTTGTTATTTTTGTAAGCCCCTTGACATGTCTAGATAAGTCTGTTTTCTGCTTTCTTTTATTTACATGTATTTGCCTCAAGCCAATAAACAAAAATCCATCTTTATCACATTCTGTTTGTTGTGTTGTAATGTCATATGATGGTGAAAGCTAACAACTGTGGAAAATAATTGCAGTCAGCTTAAATAATTGCGATCAGCTCAAATAATTGCAATCAGGCAAATATGTAATAATTGTGACAGTCCTGGTTCCAGGTGAGTTCTTTTCAAGGTGATATGATAAATAAAAGTATTCATGTAATCCAACAAATGTAAATTATTTTGGTCAAACATAAGGCAGGCTGGTCTTAAACTATGTTGTGAATCAGTAATGCAAGTACTTTTTTAATAGGCTTGTTTTGTGATACAAATCACAAATATAATATGCAGCAATAGAATCACAGCATTTGTATTTTGTCCATTTTGTACAAACCTAAATGTACATTCAGTAGCAGTTTGAGTGGCTGCAGCTTTGCAGCATTATTGTTGTAGAATTGTTACTGCAGTATCAAAACTGCCAGCAGCTGCAGTTGTGGATTGGGTCTTAAGATGTGATCCTAGAATAAAGACTTGGAGTGAGTGTGGATTGCACAGATTTGTAAGA